ACACTTACATTCTGATGTCTGTTGTCTCTCAAGAAGAGGACACTTACTTTCTGATGTCTGTTCTCTTTGAAGAAGAGGACACTTACTTTCTCATGTCTGTTGTCTTTGAAGAAGTGGACACTTACATTCTGATGTCTGTTGTCTCTCAAGAAGAGGACACTTACTTTCTGATGTCTGTTGTCTCTCAAGAAGAGGACACTTACATTCTGATGTCTGTTGTCTCTCAAGAAGTGGACACTTACATTCTGATGTCTGTTGTCTTTGAAGAAGTGGACACTTACATTCTGATGTCTGTTGTCTTTGAAGAAGTGGACACTTACATTCTGATGTCTGTTGTCTCTCAAGAAGTGGACACTTACTTTCTGATGTCTGTTCTCTTTGAAGAAGAGGACACTTACTTTCTCATGTCTGTTGTCTTTGAAGAAGTGGACACTTACATTCTGATGTCTGTTGTCTCTCAAGAAGAGGACACTTACATTCTGATGTCTGTTGTCTCTCAAGAAGAGGACACTTACATTCTGATGTCTGTTGTCTTTGAAGAAGTGGACACTTACATTCTGATGTCTGTTGTCTCTCAAGAAGAGGACACTTACATTCTGATGTCTGTTGTCTTTAAAGAAGTGGACACTTACATTCTGATGTCTGTTGTCTTTGAAGAAGTGGACACTTACATTCTGATGTCTGTTGTCTCTCAAGAAGAGGACACTTACATTCTGATCTCTGTTGTCTCTCAAGAAGTGGACACTTACATTCTGATGTCTGTTGTCTCTCAAGAAGTGGACACTTACTTTCTGATGTCTGTTCTCTTTGAAGAAGAGGACACTTACTTTCTCATGTCTGTTGTCTTTGAAGAAGTGGACACTTACATTCTGATGTCTGTTGTCTCTCAAGAAGAGGACACTTACATTCTGATCTCTGTTGTCTCTCAAGAAGTGGACACTTACATTCTGATGTCTGTTGTCTCTCAAGAAGTGGACACTTACTTTCTGATGTCTGTGGTCTCTCAAGAAGTGGACACTTACATTCTGATGTCTGTTGTCTTTGAAGAAGTGGACACTTACATTCTGATGTCTGTTGTCTCTCAAGAAGTGGACACTTACATTCTGATGTCTGTTGTCTCTCAAGAAGTGGACACTTACTTTCTGATGTCTGTTCTCTTTGAAGAAGAGGACACTTACTTTCTCATGTCTGTTGTCTTTGAAGAAGTGGACACTTACATTCTGATGTCTGTTGTCTCTCAAGAAGAGGACACTTACATTCTGATGTCTGTTGTCTCTCAAGAAGAGGACACTTACATTCTGATGTCTGTTGTCTCTCAAGAAGTGGACACTTACATTCTGATGTCTGTTGTCTCTCAAGAAGTGGACACTTACATTCTGATGTCTGTTGTCTCTCAAGAAGAGGACACTTACTTTCTGATGTCTGTTCTCTTTGAAGAAGAGGACACTTACTTTCTCATGTCTGTTGTCTTTGAAGAAGTGGACACTTACATTCTGATGTCTGTTGTCTCTCAAGAAGTGGACACTTACTTTCTGATGTCTGTTCTCTTTGAAGAAGAGGACACTTACTTTCTCATGTCTGTTGTCTTTGAAGAAGTGGACACTTACATTCTGATGTCTGTTGTCTCTCAAGAAGAGGACACTTACTTTCTGATGTCTGTTGTCTCTCAAGAAGAGGACACTTACATTCTGATCTCTGTTGTCTCTCAAGAAGTGGACACTTACATTCTGATGTCTGTTGTCTCTCAAGAAGTGGACACTTACTTTCTGATGTCTGTGGTCTCTCAAGAAGTGGACACTTACATTCTGATGTCTGTTGTCTTTGAAGAAGTGGACACTTACATTCTGATGTCTGTTGTCTCTCAAGAAGTGGACACTTACATTCTGATGTCTGTTGTCTCTCAAGAAGTGGACACTTACTTTCTGATGTCTGTTCTCTTTGAAGAAGAGGACACTTACTTTCTCATGTCTGTTGTCTTTGAAGAAGTGGACACTTACATTCTGATGTCTGTTGTCTCTCAAGAAGAGGACACTTACATTCTGATGTCTGTTGTCTCTCAAGAAGAGGACACTTACATTCTGATGTCTGTTGTCTCTCAAGAAGTGGACACTTACATTCTGATGTCTGTTGTCTCTCAAGAAGTGGACACTTACATTCTGATGTCTGTTGTCTCTCAAGAAGAGGACACTTACTTTCTGATGTCTGTTCTCTTTGAAGAAGAGGACACTTACTTTCTCATGTCTGTTGTCTTTGAAGAAGTGGACACTTACATTCTGATGTCTGTTGTCTCTCAAGAAGAGGACACTTACTTTCTGATGTCTGTTGTCTCTCAAGAAGAGGACACTTACATTCTGATGTCTGTTGTCTCTCAAGAAGTGGACACTTACATTCTGATGTCTGTTGTCTTTGAAGAAGTGGACACTTACATTCTGATGTCTGTTGTCTTTGAAGAAGTGGACACTTACATTCTGATGTCTGTTGTCTCTCAAGAAGTGGACACTTACTTTCTGATGTCTGTTCTCTTTGAAGAAGAGGACACTTACTTTCTCATGTCTGTTGTCTTTGAAGAAGTGGACACTTACATTCTGATGTCTGTTGTCTCTCAAGAAGAGGACACTTACATTCTGATGTCTGTTGTCTCTCAAGAAGAGGACACTTACATTCTGATGTCTGTTGTCTTTGAAGAAGTGGACACTTACATTCTGATGTCTGTTGTCTCTCAAGAAGAGGACACTTACATTCTGATGTCTGTTGTCTTTAAAGAAGTGGACACTTACATTCTGATGTCTGTTGTCTTTGAAGAAGTGGACACTTACATTCTGATGTCTGTTGTCTCTCAAGAAGAGGACACTTACATTCTGATCTCTGTTGTCTCTCAAGAAGTGGACACTTACATTCTGATGTCTGTTGTCTCTCAAGAAGTGGACACTTACTTTCTGATGTCTGTTCTCTTTGAAGAAGAGGACACTTACTTTCTCATGTCTGTTGTCTTTGAAGAAGTGGACACTTACATTCTGATGTCTGTTGTCTCTCAAGAAGAGGACACTTACTTTCTGATGTCTGTTGTCTCTCAAGAAGAGGACACTTACATTCTGATCTCTGTTGTCTCTCAAGAAGTGGACACTTACATTCTGATGTCTGTTGTCTCTCAAGAAGTGGACACTTACTTTCTGATGTCTGTGGTCTCTCAAGAAGTGGACACTTACATTCTGATGTCTGTTGTCTTTGAAGAAGTGGACACTTACATTCTGATGTCTGTTGTCTCTCAAGAAGTGGACACTTACATTCTGATGTCTGTTGTCTCTCAAGAAGTGGACACTTACTTTCTGATGTCTGTTGTCTCTCAAGAAGAGGACACTTACTTTCTGATGTCTGTTCTCTTTGAAGAAGAGGACACTTACATTCTCATGTCTGTTGTCTTTGAAGAAGTGGACACTTACATTCTGATGTCTGTTGTCTCTCAAGAAGAGGACACTTACTTTCTGATGTCTGTTGTCTCTCAAGAAGAGGACACTTACATTCTGATGTCTGTTGTCTCTCAAGAAGTGGACACTTACATTCTGATCTCTGTTGTCTCTCAAGAAGTGGACACTTACATTCTGATGTCTGTTGTCTTTGAAGAAGTGGACACTTACATTCTGATGTCTGTTGTCTCTCAAGAAGTGGACACTTACATTCTGATGTCTGTTCTCTTTGAAGAAGAGGACACTTACTTTCTCATGTCTGTTGTCTTTGAAGAAGTGGACACTTACATTCTGATGTCTGTTGTCTCTCAAGAAGAGGACACTTACATTCTGATGTCTGTTGTCTCTCAAGAAGAGGACACTTACATTCTGATGTCTGTTGTCTTTGAAGAAGTGGACACTTACATTCTGATGTCTGTTGTCTCTCAAGAAGTGGACACTTACATTCTGATGTCTGTTGTCCCTCAAGAAGAGGACACTTACATTCTGATGTCTGTTGTCTCTCAAGAAGTGGACACTTACATTCTGATGTCTGTTGTCTCTCAAGAAGAGGACACTTACATTCTGATGTCTGTTGTCTTTGAAGAAGTGGACACTTACATTCTGATGTCTGTTGTCTTTAAAGAAGTGGACACTTACATTCTGATGTCTGTTGTCTTTGAAGAAATGGACACTTACATTCTGATGTCTGTTGTCTCTCAAGAAGAGGACACTTACATTCTGATGTCTGTTGTCTTTGAAGAAGTGGACACTTACATTCTGATGTCTGTTGTCTCTCAAGAAGAGGACACTTACATTCTGATGTCTGTTGTCTTTAAAGAAGTGGACACTTACATTCTGATGTCTGTTGTCTTTGAAGAAGTGGACACTTACATTCTGATGTCTGTTGTCTCTCAAGAAGTGGACACTTACATTCTGATGTCTGTTGTCCCTCAAGAAGAGGACACTTACATTCTGATGTCTGTTGTCTCTCAAGAAGTGGACACTTACATTCTGATGTCTGTTGTCTCTCAAGAAGAGGACACTTACATTCTGATGTCTGTTGTCTTTGAAGAAGTGGACACTTACATTCTGATGTCTGTTGTCTTTGAAGAAGTGGACACTTACATTCTGATGTCTGTTGTCTCTCAAGAAGAGGACACTTACATTCTGATGTCTGTTGTCTTTGAAGAAGTGGACACTTACATTCTGATGTCTGTTGTCTTTGAAGAAGAGGACACTTACATTCTGATGTCTGTTGTCTCTCAAGAAGAGGACACTTACATTCTGATGTCTGTTGTCTTTAAAGAAGTGGACACTTACATTCTGATGTCTGTTGTCTTTGAAGAAATGGACACTTACATTCTGATGTCTGTTGTCTCTCAAGAAGAGGACACTTACATTCTGATGTCTGTTGTCTCTCAAGAAGAGGACACTTACATTCTGATGTCTGTTGTCTTTGAAGAAGAGGACACTTACATTCTGATGTCTGTTGTCTCTCAAGAAGAGGACACTTACATTCTGATGTCTGTTGTCTTAAAAGAAGTGGACACTTACATTCTGATGTCCGTTGTCTTTGAGGAACTGAGCAAAGGTCTTCATTTGCCAGCCTGCAGGAGTTTCAAAGTTTTTAGGTGCGAGGCCCAGTTCCCTGAACTGAATCAATTTGCTGCGGTTGTGGTCGCGGACGTTGATGCTGAGAAGCAAACAAGGAAAAAAGAGAATGTTCAGTGTTTCTTGACAAATCTCAAACACAGATTAGCATAACAGGTTTGTCTGGCAAAAACCAACACAAATAATGTCATAATCTATGAGACTGCATCGTCATACAAACATCACAATCAACATCATCACAATAAACATCATCATTATCTCCATTATCATGATCACAAGGATTATCCAGGACATTTCTATCCCGCAGAGAAAGTCTCCCCTGGTCCAAAACCAATGAGACCAAGATATATATAGTTTGGTGTGTGATGAGATTTACTAATTATCAGACACATTTCGTCTTCAAACAGAGGAAACTGTATTTGATTTTCGTTATTGGTACTAAAATTATGTTGCAATTAATGTTACTAGATAACATAGATATATCCTCACATATACTATTTTCGAACATGAATTATTCCACTGTGATTATTTAAAAATATGTGTATATTACTGGATTATGTGCATTGTCATTTGAAATGAAATACCAATTACATTATTAATTTATTATTTAAGTATTTCTGTTCATTGTCGACTTCAGGAGGAATTATTCGGGAGTACAAGTATAGATCGTTCAGCAGGTGTGTTTACTACCATCAGCTGTTCATTTCGTTGGCCTGGGGGAGATAACAATCTGCAGGTCAAACATTTCTAGGTCTTTGACAATGTGTGTTTAGATCATACTTTAATACATTCAAAGTGATGACATGAAATAGAGACATTCCAGAATATGATGAAAAAGTGCTTTAGTCAATTTCACCGTCTATTTTCATCTAAATTGTATACCAAATAGAAGGAAATATTATGGAATTTTCAATTAATTAGAAGTTACAGTTCATCATACAATGATTATTGCTCCAGGTTCACTCTCTGGCTTAATTAGCAACAATTAAGTCATTTATTTCCTGCAGTAGCCGGTGGAGCATCCAGAAGATGTTGAGTACCCGGAAGTTGATAAGATTGTTGACATTCATGATGTTAATGAGTTAGGTTTGAATGATAAAGTGACATTTTTAAAAAAAATTATGGACCAAACTGGAAGCAAACATATCTGGCATATTCTAAACTCTTAATTCAACTTGCTGTTTGGCCACTTGAAATTGTTCAAAATTTGTCATTCTTGCACAAGGATATGTTCGTGAAAACTCTTCCACCAGTGCCGTCTTATCTAAAATATGATCGTTTGTGATCTGAACTTTATATATCATTAAGGAGAAAGAGTATGTATACCTATCATAAAGTATCTATCTAAATGAAAATTAGCCTGTGTTTCCTGTGTTTTGAACTTCTGGTTGGATTTAAGTGAATATGTTCAATAACTTTGTAGATCACTGTTTGAAATGGAATAAGATTTTTGTGCGCTTCCAAAGTGTTTATGTTGTAAACACAAACACTTGTTTTGCCAATCAGGGATCAACAATGTTGTGCACTCCATCCTTATCAGCTGATGCAAAGCTCCATGCAGCAATATAGAAATCAGTTATCCACAGTAAGAGATAGCATGCACAGTTGCGAGTATGAAACTAACCGTTTACAACATTTTCGATTTTTGTAGGAGAAAATGAGAGTGCCAATTGATGCAGTTGGAACTATTGAAAGTGTAATAGTTTGATGTATGAGATTTTCGATTGCACTGAATGAATGTTGCTGCGATATCTATGACAACTATGCGAGAATATCGTAGAATTGCCACCTTAGACAATCCCTGTGATCATCAACATCATCATCATCATCATCATCATCATCATCATAACAGAAGCCATCATCATCAACACCACAACTTTGTCAAGCCTGTGTTTTACCTGGGGTCATAGACAAGTACTCGACATCCATATATCTTAGAGACAGTCATCATCATCATCATCATCATCATCATCATCATAACAGAAGCCATCATCATCAACACCACAACTTTGTCAAGCCTGTGTATTTACCTGGGGTCATAGACAAGTACTTGACATCCATATATCTTAGAGACAGTCATCATCATCATCATCATCATCATCATCAACACCACAACTTTGTCAAGCCTGTGTTTTACCTGGGGTCATAGACAAGCACTCGACATTCATATATCTTAGAGACAGTCATCATCATCATCATCATCATCATCATCATCATCATCATCAACACCACAACTTTGTCAAGCCTGTGTTTTACCTGGGGTCATAGACAAGCACTCGACATTCATATATCTTAGAGACAGTCATCATCATCATCATCATCATCATCATCATCATCATCATCAACACCACAACTTTGTCAAGCCTGTGTTTTACCTGGGGTCATAGACAAGCACTCGACATCCATATATCTTAGAGACAGTCATCATCATCATCATCATCATCATCATCATCATCATCATCAACACCACAACTTTGTCAAGCCTGTGTATTTACCTGGGGTCATAGACAAGTACTCGACATCCATATATCTTAGAGACAGTCATCATCATCATCATCATCATCATCAACACCACAACTTTGTCAAGCCTGTGTTTTACCTGGGGTCATAGACAAGCACTCGACATTCATATATCTTAGAGACAGTCATCATCATCATCATCATCATCATCATCATCATCAACACCACAACTTTGTCAAGCCTGTGTATTTACCTGGGGTCATAGACAAGTACTTGACATCCATATATCTTAGAGACAGTCATCATCATCATCATCATCATCATAACAGAAGCCATCATCATCATCATCATCATCATCATCATCATAACAGAAGCCATCATCATCAACACCACAACTTTGTCAAGCCTGTGTTTTACCTGGGGTCATAGACAAGCACTCGACATCCATATATCTTAGAGACAGTCATCATCATCATCATCATCATCATCATCATCATCAACACCACAACTTTGTCAAGCCTGTGTATTTACCTGGGGTCATAGGCAAGCACTCGACATCCATATATCTTAGAGACAGCGTCGTCAAATTGCCAATCCGTGCCAATACTGGAAGAGATGCGAGATTCAGAAAATTAGTCAGATTCAGGGATGGAAATTATCACTTGCCCCCGGTTCAGACAGGCCAGGGATAGGTTGATCACAGGACCATGTACAATCAGGACCCCATTATGCCAGCAGTATTTGCTGGATTAATGAAATGAGATATGTTACTTCTCCATTCAACCCTTGCATTTTTTAAAACTTAAAACACCAATGTATGTGTAAGGCTAAAACCTGTCAGGAAGGCAGACTCTTGAGGTTTTAAGGAAAATTATATTTGAACACTTGCAAATCTTTGATCCAAGCTGATTATATCAGACGTAGACAAAATCAGTCCAAAACAAACTGATGAAAGGGCCAGTAAAGAGGAAAATAGTTATAGTGAGTGAGTATGGTTTTACACCACTTTTAGCAATACTCCAGCAATATTTTGGTGACGGACACCAGAAATAGGCTCCACACATTGTACCCATTTAAGGAATTGAACCCAGACCTTTGGAGTGGTAGGCCAACACTTTAACTACTAGGCTACCTCTACCCAACATTATAACATTATGTTTAGGGTAACATGAGACTATGCCACCTAATTCTCCCCAACTGTAATGCATGTTTAATACATAGTTTAACATTAATGCAGTGAATGCAACCTGGTTCAAATATGTTTAGTTTGTTTGTTTGTTGTTTATAGCCGCACACAGCAATATTCCAGCTATAAATCACCCGAAACAGTACAGATGACACAGCTGCAGGAGGTCCATTGGAGGGGACATAGACATTCCACCCTCACTCACTCACCCAAAGGAGTACACAAGACATGGATGTTTGAGGCCCATGGGGGGAGACATACAGACATTCCACCCTCACTCACTCACCCAAAGGAGTACACTAGACATGGCTGTTTGAGGCCCATGGGGGGAGACATACAGACATTCCAGCCTCACTCACTCACCCAAAGGAGTACACCAGACATGGCTGTTTGAGGCCCATGGGGGGAGACATACAGACGTTCCAGGCTCACTCACTCACTCACCCGAAGGAGTACACCAGACATGGCTGTTTGAGGCCCATGGGGGAGACATACAGACGTTCCAGCCTCACTTACTCACCCAAAGGAGTACACTAGACATGGCTGTTTGAGGCCCATGGGGGGAGACATACAGACGTTCCAGGCTCACTCACTCACCCGAAGGAGTACACCAGACATGGCTGTTTGAGGCCCATGGGGGGAGACATACAGACGTTCCAGGCTCACTCACTCACTCACCCGAAGGAGTACACGAGACATGGATGTTTGAAGCCCATGGGGGGAGACATACAGACGTTGCAGCCTCACTCACTCACCCAAAGGAGTACACGAGACATGGATGTTTGAAGCCCATGGGGGGAGACATACAGACGTTCCAGCCTCACTCACTCACACACTCACCCGAAGGAGTACACGAGACATGGATGTTTGAAGCCCATGGGGGGAGACATACAGACTTTCCAGCCTCACTCACTCACACACTCACCCTAAGGAGTACATGAGACATGGATGTTTGAAGCCCATGGGGGGAGACATACAGACATTCCAGCCTCACTCACTCACCCGAAGGAGTACACCAGACATGGCTGTTGGAAGCCCATGGGGGGAGACATACAGACGTTCCAGGCTCACTCACTCACTCACCCGAAGGAGTACACGAGACATGGATGTTTGAAGCCCATGGGGGGAGACATACAGACGTTCCAGCCTCACTCACTCACCCGAAGGAGTACACCAGACATGGCTGTTGGAAGCCCATGGGGGGAGACATACAGACGTTCCAGGCTCACTCACTCACTCACCCGAAGGAGTACACCAGACACTGCTGTTGGAAGCCCATGGGGGGAGACATACAGACGTTCCAGGCTCACTCACTCACTCACCCGAAGGAGTACACCAGACATGGCTGTTTGAAGCCCATTGGGGGAGACATACAGACGTTCCAGGCTCACTCACTCACTCACCCGAAGGAGTACACTAGACATGGCTGTTTGAAGCCCATGGGGGGAGACATACAGACATACCAGCCTCACTCACTCACCCGAACGAGTACACGAGACATGGCTGTTTGAAGCCCATGGGGGTGACATACAGACGTTCCAGGCTCACTCACTCACTCACCCAAAGGAGTACACGAGACATGGCTGTTGGAAGCCCATGGGGGGAGACATACAGACATTCCAGGCTCACTCACTCACTCACCTAAAGGAGTACACGAGACATGGATGTTTGAAGCCCATGGGGGGAGACATACAGACGTTGCAGCCTCACTCACTCACCCAAAGGAGTACACGAGACATGGCTGTTTGAGGCCCATGGGGGGAGACATACAGACGTTCCAGGCTCGCTCACTCAACCGAAGGAGTACACCAGACATGGATGTTTGAAGCCCATGGGGGGAGACATACAGACGTTGCAGCCTCCCCACTCACCCGAAGGAGTACACGAGACATGGCTGTTTGAGGCCCATGGGGGGAGACATACAGACGTTGCAGCCTCACTCACTCACTCACCCGAAGGAGTACACAAGACATGGATGTTTGAGGCCCATGGGGGGAGACATACAGACGTTGCAGCCTCACTCACTCACCCGAAGGAGTACACGAGACATGGCTGTTTGAGGCCCATGGGGGGAGACATACAGACGTTGCAGCCTCACTCACTCACTCACCCGAAGGAGTACACCAGACATGGCTGTTTGAGGCCCATGGGGGTGACATACAGATGTTGCAGCCTCACTCACTCACTCACCCGAAGGAGTACACAAGACATGGATGTTTGAAGCCCATGGGGGGAGACATACAGACGTTCCAGGCTCACTCACTCACCCGAAGGAGTACACTAGACATGGCTGTTTGAGGCCCATGGGGGGAGACATACAGACGTTGCAGCCTCACTCACTCACCCGAAGGAGTACACGAGACATGGATGTTTGAAGCCCATGGGGGGAGACATACAGACGTTGCAGCCTCACTCACTCACCCGAAGGAGTACACGAGACATGGATGTTTGAAGCCCATGGGGGGAGACATACAGACGTTGCAGCCTCACTCACTCACCCGAAGGAGTACACGAGACATGGATGTTTGAAGCCCATGGGGGGAGACATACAGACGTTGCAGCCTCACTCACTCACCCGAAGGAGTACATGAGACATGGCTGTTTGAGGCCCATGGGGGGAGACATACAGACGTTGCAGCCTCACTCACTCACTCACCCGAAGGAGTACACCAGACATGGATGTTTGAGGCCCATGGGGGGAGACATACAGACGTTGCAGCCTCACTCACTCACTCACCCGAAGGAGTACACGAGACATGGATGTTTGAAGCCCATGGGGGGAGACATACAGACGTTCCAGCCTCACTCACTCACTCACCCGAAGGAGTACACGAGACATGGCTGTTGGAAGCCCATGGGGGGAGACATACAGACGTTCCAGCCTCACTCACTCACCCGAAGGAGTACACGAGACATGGCTGTTTGAGGCCCATGGGGGGAGACATACAGACGTTCCACCCTCACTCACTCACCAAAAGGAGTACACGAGACATGGATGTTTGAAGCCCATGGGGGGAGACATACAGACGTTGCAGCCTCACTCACTCACCCGAAGGAGTACACGAGACATGGATGCTTGAAGCCCATGGGGGGAGACATACAGACGTTCCAGCCTCCGTCATGCTGGTGTCCGAGGCGCTGGTCGTTGTTACACTTTACATCCTTGTTCTCCAGAAACCTGCAGCCCAAAACAGTGATATTCATCAAACATAAGTCGGCTGGGCATTAGAAATAAGTAATCTGGAAATCATTTGCTATGGAAATCTTTAATACAAAACACCACATGATGACAAAATGATTTTAGTTACATTCATTAAGGCCAGCTCTTATCTAAGAAAATCTCAGTTGACCATTTTTTGTCAATGCTATTTTCAACATCAGTTTCAGAAGAGGGTATTAAGGGGAAGTAAGTGTATCTAACCATGGCAAGTTATCTCCCCTTTGACCAACAATAACCTCCTGAATACCACTGACAACAGTGTAAAGGGTAATAATGATTATTGAATTCATGTACCTAATTACTGTTTGTCAAATAGTAACAATTGTTGTTTGTTTGTTGTTTCATGCCAGACTCTGCAATATTCCAGCTATATGACAGCAGTCTGTAAATAATCAAGTCTGGACATGACTATCCAGTGATTGAAATCATGAGCATCGATCTATGCTATTGTGATTGATGACATGCATCAACCAAGTCAGCAAGCCTGACCACCCGATCCCGTTAGTCACCTCCTATGACATGCATGGGTTGATGAAGACCAAGTCTAACCTGGATCTTGACGGGTACATCTACAACTACACATGCACCTACTGTTACTAAACACCGACTGACGTGAGTTACCCTTTCATAAGGCTACTACCTACTTTAAACAATAGCACATGCAGAAGTAGCTATGATCTTTGGTAATCTCCACAATAGGGTGCAGCAAAACTTTCCAGATGCAGTTAATGTTAGTGTCAGACACTTGCAAAAATTTCACAGTGCAGAACTTTCCAAAGTTACAGTAGATAAGAGGCTGAAGGCTTCTTAACACGTACGACGACAACACATCAGTATATTGTTTGGAAATCATGTGAACCGTGCAACACGTTGCCAGCCTGGGGCCCCGGTGTCTTACCGGGAAATCAACCTTTGGGATTACAGCATGTTTTGCTTTGATGTTCTGATGTTAATAGGCATTACTTAGAAGTTTACAGATGACAAAGTAGAGACAATTTATGGATAACAACTTCTTTATTTACTGTAATTGCGACATTTCAGAAGAGATCCTTATACTGTTGCCAAGCAAGGCTAGGGCTTGTTGGCGAGGAGGTGTTGGAACTTCTTGATGTGGTTGGCCTTGGTCTTGGTGTGTAGTTTGTTGTTGGCCTTGGTCTTGGTGTGTAGTTTGTTGTTGGCCTTGGTCTTGGTGTGTAGTTTGTTGTTGGCCTTGGTCTTGGTGTGTAGTTTGTTGTTGGCCTTGGTCTTGGTGTGTAGTTTGTTGTTGGCCTTGGTCTTGGTGTGTAGTTTGTTGTTGGCCTTGGTCTTGGTGTGTAGTTTGTTGTTGGCCTTGGTCTTGGTGTGTAGTTTGTTGTTGTGTCTCGGGGACAATGCGGAATGAGGAGAAGGTGTCGGGTTGGAGCATTGAGTTGAGCTGGTTGATATGGTCAGAGATGTCTTTGAGGGAGATTGCCTCGATTTTGAGGTGATGTCGGATTCGTTCAGTGACAAGGCATTGAGAGGAGGTGTGAAGGATGGCTCTGGCAGCAGGGGAGTTAATGGGGATCTGATCCTGCGGCCTTTGGGGAGGATGTGTTGATCTCTGCATCTCACGAGGGAGGTGAGGTGGTTACTGGTTTGAATGTGTTTCTTCTCTAGTCGAGTGAGGCTGTTTAGAGTGTTGATTGCGATGTCTCCATGTAGACAATGGATGAACTGGTTGAGAGGCATCACTTAGAAGTTGACGGATGACAAAGTGGAGACAATTTAGGATAGCAACTTCTTATTTACTGTAAAGGCGACATTTTTGTACATATCTTTATACCGTTGTAGACGACAGATGAATTGTTTTAGAGGCGTGACTTAGAAGCTGACAGATGAGAAAGTTTATGTATAACAACGTCTTTATTTACTGTAATGGCGACATTTCAGAAGAGATCCTTATATTGTTGCCAAGCAAGGCTAAGGGCTTGTTGGTGAGGAGGTGTTGGAACTTCTTGATGTGGTGGCCTTGGCCTTGGTGTGTAGTTTGTTGTTCGGTCTGGGGGACAGTGCGGAATGAGGAGAAGATGTCTGGTTGGAGCATTGTGTTGACCTGGTTGATATGGTCCGAGGTGTCTTTAAGGGAGATGGTCTTGATTTTGCGGTGATGGCGGATTCGTTCCTTCACAAGGCGTTGAGAGGCGGTGTGAAGGATGACTCTGGCTCATTTTGACGGAACACCATTCTTGACATATTCATCAGGAAATTTGCATTTGTTGCGAATGGGTATATTTCAGCATTAATTATTTCCAGGGGTGAAGACCAACTCTAAAGGTCAAGGTAACAGTTAACACGACTTACATGAATACAGGGCTCATTTTACTCAAAAATAACTCAACATAGCTACTTTGGTTCAAGAGTAGATAAGGGTTCAAGGTCAAGGAGACCTTGCTCACAACGTACTTGAAGAAGCTTTCCTCGGCCTGTGCGTCGGACATGTTGGGGGACACCAGGATGGGGGGCATCTCCTTGACATGGATCTGGGGCACCAGGAAGGGGATGGGCCTCAGGGGCTGAAACACAACAAGGCTACATACTCACTCACTTTTAGGTAACACAACAAGGCTACATACTCACTCACTTTTAGGTAACACAACAACGCTACATACTCACTCACTTTTAGGTAACACAACCAGGCTACCTACTCACTCACTTTTAGGTAACACAACCAGGCTACCTACTCACTCACTTGTAGGTAACACAACAAGGCTACATACTCACTCACTTTTAAGGTAACACAACAAGGCTACATACTCACTCACTTGTAGGTAACACAACAAGGCTACATACTCACACACTTTTAAGGTAACACAACAAGGCTACATACTCACTCACTTTTAAGTAACACAACAAGCATTGATCATGTTGATAATACTATTGCCATGTCTGGGCACAGCATCAGGTCTGACCAGCAGCATCGTCCATACTTCACAGATTTCTACACACTACATCATGTACATTTCTCCACTCCATGGATCCAGTACTGACGTGCTTGTTTTAAGTTAGCTAATGAAATGAGGCTGATTACAAGAGTGACGATAGAGTTTTTTGCTTTGACATTTGTCTGAGTATTCACTACCCCTCCCCCCCCCAAAAAGACAAAAACAAAAACAGAAAACAACATTAATATTTAATACTTTGGAGGGGTCATTTCAAGTCGTGATTTACTTGTACCTGATGCGTAAAATAGTTATTTTGTTCAAGATTGGGATTCATAGTTCATAGTTTCCTAAATCAGGGGTATTTTGAGATTGCATTTAATATTGCAATAATATAAAATAATGCACTAAAACCTGTTCCTATTTATTGGTCAAGTCATAAGTAAACACAAGTTACTTCCACAAAGTTATCAGTTATTTATATATAAATACATTGCAAGATGATATGGGAAATGTTTAGTTCCAAATTGGCAATTTTTATTGACATTTGCTGCAGACTTGGAACCGAACATATCGGCCTGTGGGGAGGTCTAGATAAATCCCTGGTACCGGGGTAATCTGAATATTTGTTGGACTATGAGTATTCCCACCCCTCCCCCCAAAAAAACAAAACAATAGAAAACATAAAAAAACAGTATTAATATTTATACTTTGGAGGGGGCATTTTAAGGTGTGATTACCATGATTACTTGTACCTGATGTGTTTCACAATGAATAAAATAATTTCAATAAACAAACAAACATCACAAACAGTCCTGGTGGCCCCTTGTGACTACAAATATCAGTCTACATACCCTCTCTGTAGCACGCCTGGGCAATCCAACTGGCCAAAACTGTGGCTCATTTCTTTGTCGGTGTCTGTTTGATGCTTGCTTCAGCCCATTGAGGATGTAGTACACCCCTCCGAACACTACCATTGCAACCAGCAGGTACATGAGCACCCGACGCCGACGTCGTAGACACATCACTGTAAGTTCCTGTGACTCCTTTAGCCAAATCTCATCACTTCATATTATACTGGAAATGTGAAGGAGAAAAGGTTGGTTGGGTTGTTTAATGCCGTGCTCAGCAATATTTCAGCTATATGACGGTGGTCTGTAAAAATCAAGTCTGAAATACGTTCTGACAGCATTTGAAACACAACTTATTCTAATCTTTATTCTAATATGGTAAATGTCCGACATTTCTGAGTGAGTGAGTTGGGTTTAACGCCGCTTTTAACAGTATTCCAGTTATATCACGGCGTGTCAGCTTAATGTGGGAGGAAAGCCCGAAGTGATGCAGGTCTCAGACGTTTACCACTTCGGTGAAACCCACAAGCACGGGTATGGTGCTGACAGACCTAGAAACATAATCGGGGCAAACCAAGATTCGAACCCACAATGATAGGATTCTGGCATGGACAAGGGATGCAACTCTTCACAGCAAATCACGGGGCTTAGACACCTGGGCCACCCGTGCCCCCTATCCGACATGGACCCATTCACTATCCAAATAACTCTCAAGAGTAAGAGATATATTTTAGGTTAGTGATGGGGAGTTGAGGTGAGGTGAAAAGGGGTTAACGTCAAGATTATTGGACTTTAAGAATTGACGTGTATATGTGTGCGTGTGTGGCTGCTTTTACCAGTCTGGGCTCATGCTGGTTTTAGAGTGCTAACCCACTGAGATACCATGCCGCAGTCTAACATTGATAACCCACTCACACAGTTTACTGACTCCGAGCCAATCAGTCCTTTTTTAGCTCCTTTATGTCAAGCACCAGGCAATTTAACAGCAAGTATGAGCTTTTGACGTGTTTTGGTATGATGCGGCCAAGGATTGAACCACCAACCTCCGTCTCTCTGGGAAGATGCTCCAAGCAACAGACCATGGTGGTGGTCTAGTGACGGGGAGATGAAGATAGTGGCATGAGTTCCAAAGAAACGAACGAGGAAAATGGGTTAGGGTATCTAAAGTACATGAAGAATGGAGCTTGAATAGGACACATCAACAAAGACCAGCTCTGGTCATATCGGCCCAAATCTGGTCAAAATGAATCACTGTTGGTCATATGGTTTACTGATGGTTAAAATGGATCACTGTTAGTCAAAATGGACCTGTTAATATCAAATTGAAAACAAAAAAGTTTCTCAGTTTTATACTCATTTCATATTCATTATCCTTTTACCAACGTTATAATCATCACCATACACCAAACTTTGTGTGTCATTGAATATATATAAAAAAACATACGTATACACTTTTGTTGACATTAATACATTTACATGTAACCTCCTGTTATGGGTTTTCTGGCCCCTAAGAAGTATTTCTCATTACAAGTCTAAGAATTCCAAAATTAAAATGAAGTCTTCACCTTATTTTACCTTAAAAATTATTTCTGTATACACTTGGATGTTCAAATGACAATGCCTTGTTAATTTTATTGTGATAAGGACTTGCCAAACGAGATGAGTCAATCAGGCGCCGTCACGTCACATGATTTCCTGCCCCTCCATTGGATCAAAGTTAAAAATATCGTGTCTTGTACATCAAGTACATTGTCAGTGTCCCGTAACTTGTCGCTGTCTTCAGAGCCAGTTCACCATTTGAGAATATGGAAATTGTATGTTGAAAATTTAAAGATATTTTTCAAATATTAACAACACAAATTTGCCACATTAATATCAATGTTTTCTAGACGAGAGACCCGATGGGTCCTACTGCCAAGACATGATGTAGGCTACAAAAGTACAGTTTTCTTGATTGTAACTAAGATGTAATCATTGGTAATTGACATCAAAGAACCATGAACCATCCATACAGTATTTTGATAAGCAAAGAACCAAACATATTACAAACACCAAAGGATTATTTTGGACATTGTACAACGATAATTTATAGGGACATGTACATGTTTCTTTCACAATTTCTCGAAGAGCCATTTCTCACAATCTCACTCATATATCGCAAGTCAGGATACCTACTAAATACTTGTGTCACTGTCAAAATTCACGATTCACTGACCAACCTTACTTTACATGCTGCTTGACTTGCCATAAGACCTGTCTCACCCAGTGATCAGCTGTTGACGTCGTAACTCGTATTCGTAATCATCCTGACACTAAGTAAAGGTACGTCTCCAAGTCAAACAACTTATGACATAAATATAGAGAAAAATACACTTAGCGTTAGAATTAATGTCAAGTGAGCTTTGTCATTTACATCTATCGATGCTCATCTTTGTTTATTCACCTTTACTGTGTTCGAATTGTCTTTCAATCCCGCTTCCGCATTAACACTTCCCTTTCTCACTGCGCGAGAGCATTAATGGGAAGTAACTCTTGAAAGTGCAGACCACGTAGAATATGTTTCATGAGACAATTTCTTCCGAATTCAACTCAGTTTATTGATATTGCATTCTGTACGGATGAGGGCATAAAGTTATAAACCATGAAATATAACACGAACAGTGGGACATTTAATTAGAATATAGTGAGTGAGCTGGGTTTAACACCGCTTTAAGAAATATGACATGTCAGTAATTACGCGGATGGGGGTGGCCCACTGTTTAAAGCGAAGGTCCGGGTTCTATTCCCGTTATAGGTACACTTTGTGAAGTCCACAAGCACGGGTGACAGGCCAAAAATCAAAAGACAACATTGATGCGAGCTATCAACACTGCGTAAAATTGAATGTGTGTTGAAAAGGCAAGATAGTGGTGTAACAAATGCAGCAATAATGTACAAAAACTGTTGCACTCAAATGCAGGTAAATATCTTGTGTGCAAGACATCTAAATACCCTGTTCATATGCACACCGTTTACTCAAGTATGTAATTTTGCTTATATGTAGCTTTACGTGTGTATACATTTATTTTGTTTGTTTGTTCTTTAACGCCGCACTCAGCAATAGTCCAGCCATATGACGGCGGTCTGCAAATAATCGAGTCTGGACCAGACAGTCCAGTGATTGAGATCATGAACATCGATCCACGCAATTAGAATACGATGACATGCATCAACCAAGCCTGACCACCCGATTCCGTTAGACGCCTCTTACACAAATAAAGTAAAGTAAAAATGTAAACTGTCAGATGGACGTATTGCCATTGCTGAACTTGAGGAAGACACAGGTCTAAGCCATGGATCCATTGAAACTATTATTCATGAACATTTTCAGATGAATAAGATATCTGCTCGTTGGGTGCCAACGTTTGTAAATTCTGATCTTAAGGAAATAAGAACTGACACTGCCAGAGAAAATTTAGAGCTTATTGAGGAGGATTTCGTCAAAATTCAAAACGAGATTAGTAACGGGTGAAGAAGCATGACTCTACCACTATGATCCCGACTCAAAACGTCAATCAATAGAATGGCACTATTCCAATTCTCCGGCACCAAAGAAATTCAAGTCTTCAAGATCAGCGAAGAAAGTTATGGCCATTGTATTCCAGAATGCAAAGGCCTAGGGTGTGATCCTTGTTGATTACTTGGAGAGTCAAAAGAGGATTGCCGATGACTACTATGCCGATTTGCTTCATCGCCTGAGAGATTCTATCAAAGAAAAGCGTCGAGAAATGCTGACTGCTGGAGTTCAACTACTTCATGACAATGCCTCTTCTCACATCTCTTGACTTGCAAAGGCTGCTGTGCGACAATGTGGGTTCGAAGAGCTTCCTTACCCCCAATACTCGACAGACCTGGCACCAAGTGATTTCCACCTGTTTCCTAAATTGAAAGAACACCTTCGTGGAAAGCGTTATGACGACAACGATGACCTCAAAGCTGCCGTGAACGGGTTTTTCAGGGTGGCTTCAGAAAATTTCTTCTTGACTGGAATTGAAAAGCTTCACTTTCGATATGAGAAGTCTATTAAAAATCAGGGAGACTAAAAATAAATTGAAAAACACTTTCACAATTGTTGATTTTGTTTGTTAGGCTGTTTTGACCAGCCCTCGTATTTCAGCTATATAACGGTGGTCTGTAAATTATCTTGTCTGGACATGACAATCCAATGATTGACATCATGAACATCGATTTACGCAATTGGGATACGATGACATGCATCAACCAAATCAGCAAGCCTGACCACCCGATCCCGTTAGTCGCCTCTTACGACAAGCACAGTCGCCTTTTAGGGCAAGAATGGGTTGCTGAAGATCTATTCTTACCCGGATCGTCACGGTTATTTAATATGCTATTCATGGTAAACTGCGGCATGGTATCTCAATGGGCCAGCACTATAAAATCGGCATTAGTCCGGACTAGTACAAGAGCCACATACACACATTCCCCAATTATATTCCTCGTTTCTTTGCAGTTAACCTAATAGAGACTCTCAGCCCTTTGTCTAAGCAGGCGAATATGACGTTGAGCTGCCCGACAAGTGAATTTGATTAATGAATAACACCGTTGCGAGATATCGCGTGGAGAACGTGCAAATCATGCTTATCTAGGCTTAACCTCAATGTGAGAGAAGGGCCAACTCTTGTCATGAGTTGTTTGTTTAGCTATGGCTATGTGATTTCTATTTGTTAGCTTGAGTATTATTCGAGTATTTACTTTGTGTTGACCCTATAAGATCCGTGGTAGAATAGGTCTTCAGCAACCCATGCTTGTCATGTGGGGCGACTATGATTGTCGTAAAATCGGGATCGGGTGGTCAGGCTCGCTGACTTGGCTGATGCATGTCATCGTATCCAAATCGCGTAGAATGATGCCCTTGGTGTCAATCACAGGACTGTCTGGTCCAGACTCGATTATTTCAGACCGCCACCAAGTAAATGTTAAACCCGCTTCACATTTCGCTTTTTTCTTTCAGTTTTGGAAGACTAGACGGATTACAACTGAAATAAAGTTCACAGCCCTTCCAGGGGCGGTCGGGTAGCCTAATGGTTAAAGCGTTCTCTCGTCACGCCAATGACAACTTTTGCCCAGTCAATGTGTATGGGAGGAACCTGCAACAAAGTTAGTTTTTCTATTATTGTCTTGGCGCGATAGGGTAGCCTAGTGGTTGAAGCGTTCGTTCGTCACGCCGAAGATCCGGGTTCGATTCCCGATCTGGGTACAATGTGTGAAGCTTCATTTCGCCGTGATATAGTTGGGATATTGCTAAAAGCGGCGTAAGACCATACTCACTCACTATTATTGTCCTATTATTGTGAAAATTATTAAAACAACTCCCTTGTAAAGGCTGGAACGTATAGGAAATGAGCTGGGTCAGGTCCCCGCTATTGTAAGTATTTTTAGACGTAACGTGAATATTTATAGCATTTTAAAACAGTGAATCCAGGCACATGTCTACAACATGATAACAAATAATGCATACTTTCATTACATAAATTATATTATATATGTGTCGTTTGAAGCTAAATTTGACGATACGATGACAACAGAATTACATATTTGGAGTGACGTTACGTTGACCTGGAATAGTTAATGTCATTTACCACCTGACATGTGACAGAAGAGTTGACATGAGACCAGACCTGCTTTCTGGAGGATTTTCCTCAATTGTGAAAATGGACTTTTAATTGCCAGATTGAAAAATGAGAATTCGTTGTTTTGACACTTTTAGTTAAGTGGGCTTATCTTCATGTAAAAAAAAAGCTTGAATAGATTGTTTCAAAGCGGAATGAAAAATATTGATGTGAGTGAGTATGGTTTTACGCCGGTTTTAGCATATTCCAGCAATATCACGGCGTTCCTACCCCCAAAACCACCTCACCCAGAATCGTGAAGATCCGGGTAGAGAATAGGTCTTCAGGCACCTATGCTTGCTGTAAAAGGCGATTATGTTTGTCGTAAAAAGGCAACTAACGGGATCGGGTGGTCAACGTCACTGACTTGGTTGATGCATGTCATCGTATCCCAGTTGCGTAGATCGATGCTCGTATTATCAATCACTGGATTGCCTGGTCCAGACTCGATTCATGATTTACAGACCGCCGTCATATACCTGGAATATTGCTGAGTGCGGCGTTAAACTACAAGCAAACAAGCATGACATTTCGAAAGCGAGGTCCGCATATTTTTCCTGAATCTTGTCAATCATATTAGTGTCAAAAGGGACAGAAAATTCAATGAGCAAAATGATTTCATTGGATTTATGAAAAAGGACACGATCAGGTTTGTTGGCCTTGATAGGTCTGAGGCTGTATAAGGGCCTATTCCGAAGGTTTTTTTTGTATTCATCATTTTCCATGACGCCCTCTACATATTCCGGGTCGTACCATGGATGGGCCTCTATGTCAAAACCACAAGCATGGCGGAGACGGCAATATAAAATGATCGAGCCACTCCATCATGTCGGTTAAGATCCTGTGTTTGTGCCAAAGCTGGGCTTTCACTGACAATATGTTGGACAGTCTCATATTAACGTAATTGCATAATCTACATTTCATATTTTTACATTGTGATGCAAAATCGCAAAATTAACGGTTTTGAGTTGGAAGTAATTGGTGAGGACAGCAAACAGCAAACCTTCTGTTTCACTTTTCAGGCCAGACGACGTCATCCAAGCGAAGTACTCTGCAGGGTTGCTGATCTTCTCAACACACTGCACATAAACTAGAAGAAGCAGTAGTCGTTCAGATAGCCTCTCCTCGATAAACTGAGTTGTGGCCGATTTGATATGGCACTTCATTTGGTTGACACTCATTTCTGTACCGTCCAGGAGTACAGACCCAACAACAAAATCAACATTGAAATGGAGATTATGTCCAACATTCTTGGCTCTTTAGGAAAACTGTGGAATTCCTTGTTTTCATCATGAGTCTTGACATGCTTCACAAGAGGATCGTTTGACAAATAAATTTATGCTCAATACAATTCTATCATGTTTGTTGTTTAACGCCGCAACATTCCAGCAGGTCTGTAAATAATCGAGTCTGGACCAGATAATCAAGAGATTAATATCATGAGCATCGATCTACGCAATTGTGATACGATGACATACTCAACCAAATCAGCAAGTCTGACCACCCGATCCCGTTTGTCGCCTCTTACGACAAGCATAATAGCCTCTTATGGCAAGAGCCGGCTTGACGAAACCCCGGTGTACGATGTGTGATGCTGTTTGAATATTCCGAAATGCAACATAAAATGCTACTCACAAATACACAACACAAATCGCGGCAGCGGTATAAAGTCGGAGGAGTTTAAATGTAAACAATATCTTTTTGCATGTGTTGTCCGCAGTACGTCAGCGTGACGTATTTGTCTGTGAAGCAGGAACTAATTAATCACGTACGTCAAAAGGACGTATGTGTAATAAATGAGTGGACGTCATGGGGGCTGTAGTTTTTATCATCATAACAGAAAAGCTGTGATGTTCCTCCTACCTATGACCAGGCAATACAAATCTGTTTGGAGAGGATACAGCTACGAAATGACAATACACAATTGGACGACATTTATTCAGCAAGTTTGTCTTTCTTTGGGCGTGAAAATTCGACAGATAACACACACCTCGATCTATTTTGTCACATTGTTGGATTTTTGTCATTATTATAGGCCTGAAACGACTACTTTTGTACTCCCGCATGAGTGAGTGAGTATGTGTTTTGTACTCTCGACTGAGTGAATGCTTTTGTACTCTCGAGTGAGTGAGTGTTTTGTGCTCTCGCGTGGGTGAGTGTTTTGTGCTCTCGAGTGAGTGAGTGAGTGTTTTGTGCTCTCGAGTGAGTGAGTGAGTGTTTTGTGCTCTCGAGTGGGTGAGTGTTTTGTACTCTCGAGTGGGTGAGTGTTTTGTACTCTCGAGTGAGTGAGTATGGATTTCGCCTTTAACAAAATACGAGCAATATTACGGTGGTGGACACTAGGAATGGGCTTCACACATTATACCCTTGTGGGGAATCGAACCCCGGCCTTCTGGGTGATGAGCGAACTACTAGGTTTCCCAGCGTGATTTCCCTGTCTCAGCTTGTATGTTCTTGAAGTCTTTGAGTCATTAGGAGAACTTTAACTAACTCTTATGGGGATTGGCAGTGCACCTGGGGATAGTTAGGACAGATGTCCACATGAAATGTTGATGTTATAATTTAGCCGGGCGGTCGGGTAGCCTATAGTGGTTAATGCGTTCGCTCGTTACGCCGAAGACCCGGGTTCGATTCCCGACATGGGCACAATGTGTGAAGCCCATTTCTGGTGTTCCCCGCCGTGATATTGCTGGGATATTGCTAAAAGCGGCGTAAAACCATACTCACTCACTATAATTTAGCCAAATTTTGTCAAAATAATTTGTTCTTTCTTATGAACCTCTGGCCCCTAAAAGTCCCCCTGCGCCTAATATTTGTCTGATCAATTTTCGCTTTTGCACCAGATTTCAACATTTTGCATGCCGTAATGTGTCAGACTCGCAGCGAAACCAAAGGCTAAGCCCGTCTCTTCAACAACACTGAACGTGAAAGCATCGGGTATATTTATATAATTTTGTAAGCTGCTAAAACGCACGAGAAACAATGTTAATTATTTTTGAACTGGAATAGCCGCGCATTATTGGTTGTCGCTTTGGATTCAGGAGTCTTGCAGCTATTGCGAGATCGTCTTAATGATCCAGCATGGACCCGCCATGGCTGATTGTATACGGAACGCTTCACGCCATAGGTTCAATCGGTTCCTTGTTAGTTTGTTGTTTAACGACGCAATCAACAGTCCGTGTCGTGAGAGGCGACTAACGGGATCGGGTGGTCAGATTCGCTGACTTTGTTGATGCATGTCATCCATCCCCATTGCGTGGATCGATGCTCATGATGTCATCATCACTGGATTGCCTGGTCCAGACTCGATTATTTTCAGACCGCCGTCATATAGCTGGAATATTGCTGAGTGCAGCGTTAAACAACAAATAAACCAACAACAACTTTAAACAATTGAGCCTGAACCAGAAAATCTCATTACTAACGGGATCGGGGGGTCAGGCTCGCTGACTTGGTTGATGGATGTCATCGATCCCAATTGTTTTGTTTGTTTGTTTGTTGTTTAACGCCGCACTCAGCAATATTCCAGCTATATGGCGGCGGTCTGTAAATAATCGAGTCTGGACCAGACAATCCAGTGATTAATATCATGAGCATCTATCCACGCAATTGGGATCGATGACATGCATCAACCAAGTCCTCGAGCCTGACCACCCGATCCCGTGAGTCGCAATTGCGTAGATTGATGCTTATGATATCAATCACTAGATCGGGATCGGGTGGTCAGGCTCGCTGACTTGATTGATGCATGTCATCGATCCCAATTGCGTGGATTGATGCTCATGATATTAATCACTGGACTGTCTGGTCCAGATTCGATTATTTACAGACCGCCGTCATAAAGCTGGAATATTGCTAAGTGCGGCGTTAAACGCCACACCAACCAACCAACCAATCAATCACTAGATTGTCTGGTCCAGACTCGATTGTTTACCGACCACCGTCATATAGCTGGACTATTGCTGAGTGCGGGGTTAAACAACAAGCAAACAAACAAAACAAAATTCTTGCAAAACATAAAATAAAAAATGTTAGCGCTTCCTTGTAAAATTAAAACCGATTGAGAAACAGATTAATATTGATAAACATTAAGTTATTATTATTAAGCATTACGTCAGTCTCGTGAAAAGAAAATTGACTTGAAAGAGTACAACGTTTTTATGAACGAAACACTTGATAATGATACGCAATACTTCGTTGGATGACGTACAGGCATCGCCCATCATGTTTATATACGAGTACAAATCAATGCATCACCGAACGCTCCCTCATCGAACTCAAAGCGTGTCCTGAAACGTGATGTTAAATATGGGGCTTGTTTCAGCTCTTGTTCAAATCAGGCTTTGTCGTCAATCAAAGTCATGCACTATTTGATTTATGTATTTTTTTGGAGTTTATTGAAGCACATTTTGTGGCCCGAGTAGAATGAGAAGAGCGACCGTTTTAGCTCACCATCCCCCAATATGGCGTGGTTATTTAAATAGGGAAAGATGTCTCGTATTTTTTCGAACTATTGTCAGATGAAAGAAAATGATAAAATGTTTGTCTAGGCCCCATTGGATTCACGAGAAAGAATTAGCGCCGAGAACTTCATGCTTGTCACAGGTGTCGATTAATGATGAGGTGAAATGGGGTTTAACGTCGCGTCCAAGATAATTGCACTGATACAGCCACGTGCGTGCACGTGTGTGTGTGTGTGTGTGTGTGTGTGTGTGTGTGTGTGTGCGGCTGCTTGTACTGGTCCGGATTGATGCCGATTTATAGTGCTAGCACACTGAGATACCATGCCGCAATTTAACATGTATACTGACTCCGAGCCGACCAGGCCTTGTCTTAGCCCCTTAATGCCAGGGTAACAACAAGTACCATCTTTTAACGTCTTTTGGTATGACGCGTCCGGGGACCTTCCACTCTCCGGGCAGACGCTCTACTAGTCAATGTAGTATATTATTTGAGTAGTTCATTGCAAGTGTAATTAGTCTGTTGATGTCGTTTGGATATTAGTGACAGTTAGTTTTTAACGGCGTTTGACATGCCGTGGTTGGAAGTCTGCTTCCCGGGGGACTAAACTAATGAGGATCGGGTGATTAAAATGTCTGACCCAACCGAGTCGTTGATCACACCATTAACCACTGGTTACCCAGACTCGAGTACACTGCCGGACAAAAGAAAGAATACACCCACGTTTCATGGTTGCTAAAAATGAAACAAACAAGATTATTTTTTTTTGGGTGGTGTATTTTATACGGATGTCATAGTTGTGTTTTGGACCAAACGTTTGCAGAGTTTCAGTAATGGTTTTGATGTGTGCAGCATTATATTTGTTTTGAATAACAGTAAGTTTCTTTGTTGTTTAAAGCCACACTATGCAATGATCTAGCTGTATGACGGCAGTCTGTAAATAATCGAATCTGGACCTGACAATCTAGTGACTGACATCACGAGCATCGTTCTACGCAAATGGAATATATAAATGACAAGTCAGCAAGCCTTTCCCACGATTCTGTAAGTCGTTTTTTACGACGAGCATGGGTTGATGAAGACCTATTCTAATCCGGGTCTTCACTTGGGTACAGCTATTAACAGTGCCATAACGACAAAATGCAAAATCTGGCTCGTCAAATCTAATGCTTTCTAAAGTGCACTAAGAAATAGAGCTGAATTATTCCCATAAACTATTTTCGTCTTACTTGTGAGTCACGCTTTGACTTAATAATGTCCCGTCTCTTATTCTTTCAAGCAATGCCTTTTTCAGCAATGCTAAGAAAACAGGTCGCGACGAAGCTCGTGCACCTCGTCACCGCGCCGAGCTTGTCATCTGCCAATCAACTGTTTCCCGTCCCTGTCGTGTACATTACAGTTGTATATATCACAGTTGGGCTCAGGACGCAGTGGTGGGTTTGGGACTGTGTGAATGAATTCATTGCTATGGTAGAGATTTGACAGGTCAAAGCGACTTGACTCCAAGACATATTTTTACAACCGAGAAACGTAAGTACATTCACGAAAATCTCGATTCAACCAAAGCTATGAGCTAGGCTAATAATCCAGATATCGTTGGTTGTTGTTTGGCGCCGCAGTAGTCAGCAATATTCCAGCTATATAGGTGTGGTATGTAAATAATCGTTAATCGTTAATCCAATTGGCCGACACTTTACCAAGTGCCATCCCAAAGTGATCACTCTTTTGAGAAGTGATCAGCACCAGGCTATTTACATTTATCAGCGAAACTTTAAAAGAAAAAGTATTTTCTTCAAATACCATAGGATTAATTCGTAAAAATAGATGGCTCTCTCATACCCCATCAGGCAACTAACACCAAGGATCGTAAAGGGGTGCCTTACCCAAAGGACCGTTAAGGGGTGTTAGTTTGTCAAATGGTGCACACCCCAAAGGATCGCGAAGGGGTATGGGTTTGGCAAGTGGGGCCCAACCCTAAGGACCGTGAAGGGGTGCTTCATCGGAAAGGGTGTCCAAGGGCTAAGGGTAGGGTGTGAGTTAACATACCCTAACCCTCAGGATCGAAGAGACACGCAGCCCTGTAACACGAGAGCTACAGTCAGTTACCGTGTGTCAGCATACCCCGACGGCGTGTTCCCTGATCAAAATATTAATCACTGGCTTTTCTGGTCCGGGCTCAATCGTTTAAAGTTGTTGTTGGTTGGTTTGTTGGTTAACGCCGCACTCAGCAATATTCCAGCTATATGACGGCGGTCTGTAAATAATCGATTTTGGACCAGACAATCCAGTGTTTGATATCTTGAGCATCAATCCACGCAAATGGGATCGATGACATGCATCTACCAAGTCAGCGAGCCTGACCACCCGATCCCGTTAGTCACCTCTTACGACAAGCATAGTCGCCTTTTACGGCAAGCATGGGTTGCTGAAGACATATTCTACCCCGGATCTTCACGGGTCCAATCGTTTAAAGGCCGTCATGATATAGTTGGAATATTGCTGACTCTGATTCCCTTGAACAATTCTTAGACCAAACCAAACCAAAAACACTCCAAGCAGTCGCTATCTGGCTGAAATAATGCTGATGGGGCGTCAGGTTTTAACTCACTCCAAGCAATGGCCATAAACGCTTGCTTTCTCACAACATCTATTTTGCTTAAGTCAATCATTCTATTAATATCCACGAAACCTTCATCGCAAATCTTTCTCATTAACTCAATGCTACTAAATGGCCTTAAATAGTCGCCATTAGAGGTTTGCCTATGCACGCCTCAAGGCGCCTCAAATCTGAGTGATGAGATTTTATTAAGTGATGCGAGCACAAACAGACATCGCACGCACCTTTAATCGCAAGCCTTTGACGTGGATGCGAATATTTTGATGCGTCATCCATCAAATACTAATTTATGTCGCTATCAAACGCATGGAGAATTGTCAGCCCTCACCCTCAGACTGTCTCCGTCGATACCCCCGGGCCTCCCATCGCAAATACGCCAGCTCTAATATACTTATACATGGATTAGGCAAACGTACACATCGCCCACGGTGAAATGTAAATTGCGAATCACGTATATATTAATTTATGTCGCTGGTAATAAGTGTGATGTTTTAAGAGAGAACCGCGATCACTCACAGCGTCAGAAGTCGCTCAGCTGTTGTTGGCAGTGTTTCTGACATGGTGAGTTACAGTGCGGTACAGTGTTCAGTTACAGTAGAGTGTAGTGACCTTATGGTTTATGACTGATTTTGATCCCCGAACCCTTTGAACATTATTTCCCTTACATCACGGCGTGTCAGTTAGTTTGGTTTACTGCCTCCGTGACACACGTCTCAGATGTTTGGGAAACACGCGATCGTGGAATGGTGTGTCAGATCAAGGGGGAATCTGGAAGTCGAACATACGGTCAGTGGATCCTGGCGACAAGGGGACAGAACTCTTCGCCCCGACAGTGCGTGCGTCGACATAGGGGTATTTTCCTCACCCATGCGTCGAGATCTTCTACTTGGTCTTTATAGTGATATAGAGGCAGTATCGACCACGCGCTGGGATAACAGCAGAATCTTTTCGTGACAATATGTCAAGATAGGGGTACCATCTACTCGTGTCAACTAAAGGAAAGTATATGTCTCTTCATGCGTCGAAATAGGGGTAGCATCTACCTGCATCCACGTGTTGTGATACGTGATAAGTATCAGCCCTAACAATGCTAAGTCAACTCCTTTCATACCCGCGAAGATTCAGCAACCCATGCTTGCCGTAAGAGGTGACTATGCTTGTCGTGAAAGGTGACTAACGGGATCGGGTGGTCAGGCTCGCTGACTTGGTTGATGCATGTCATCGATCCCAATTGCGTGGATCGATGCTTATGATATTAATCACTGGATTGCCTGGTCCAGACTCGATTATTTAAAGACCGCCGTCATATAGCTGTAACATTGCTGATTGCGGCGTTAAACAACAAACCAACCAACCAACCAACTCCTTTCATGGTTTGAAATTGTGGTCTTCCCGAAACACTTAAGTCCCGAAAAGCGCAGTATCTGCTTCTTTCATGCATGGAGGCAAGTTCACCTCTACCCGAGCTCCTATGTCTAGGTCAGGGTAGATTTCACCTACGTCAAAGTGTCGAGATAGAGGTACCATCTACCCGTGTCAGTATGTCGAGATACGGACAAGTTCTACCCGCGGCCGTGTGTCTTGGGATATAGTACCTTGAAAAGGGCAGGTTTGACCCGCGTCCAAGTGTCGAGACAGGGGTAGCATCGTCCGTGTCAGTATGTCGAGATAAAGGAAGGTTATACTCCCGTCCAAGCGTCGAGATAGAGGTACCGTCTACCCGTGTCATTATGTCGAGATTAGGGCATGTAATACCCGCGTCCGAGCGTCTTGATATAGGTGTACCATCTACCCGTGTCATTATGTCGAGATTAGGGCATGTAATACCCGCGTCCAAGTGTCTTGATATCGGTGTACAATCTACCCGTGTCAATATGTCGAGATTAGGGCAGGTTATACTCCCGTCCAAGCGTCTTGATATAGGTGTACCATCCACCCGTGTCAATATGTCGAATTAAGGGAAGTGTTTGCCTCTTCCAGGGGTAAAATCTGCAACGTGCATACCGCATGTGTCATGTAGTATTTATTTCAACGTTGGGATTTCTTCCATGTGATGTCCTTGCATTTTTGTGCAATACAAGTATCGCAGAAAAAGTAAGTGAGTGAGTATGGTTTTGCGCCGCCTTTAGCAATATTCCATCAATATCGCGGCGGGTGACACCAGCAATGGGCTTAATACATTGTACCCATGTCGGGAATCGAACCCGGGTCTTCGGCGTGACGAGCGAACGCTTTAACCACTAGGCTACCCGACCTCCCGAGAAAAATTAAGGATAAGATATATGGATGAACAACTTCTTTATTGCAATTAGGAGCGACGCTTCGGTGTAGGTTCTAACACCGTTATCAAGCAAGTGATGTGGTGATAGAACTTCACCAAAACGTAGCTCCTAAATGTAATACAGAAGTTTTCATCGTTGTTCATCCTTACTTAGAACTCCTTGTTCATCCTTACTTAGTTCTCCTTGTTCATCCTTACTTTGTACTCCTTGTTCATCCTTACTTAGTTCTCCTTGTTCATCCTTACTTAGTTCTCCTTGTTCATCCTTACTTTATACTCCTTGTTCATCCTTACTTTGTACTCCTTGTTCGTCCTTACTTAGTTCTCCTTGTTCATCTTTACTTTGTACTCCTTGTTCACCCTTACTTAGTTCTCCTTGTTCATCCTTACTTAGTTCTCCTTGTTCATCCTTACTTTATACTCCTTGTTCATCCTTACTTTGTACTCATTGTTCGTCCTTACTTAGTTCTCCTTGTTCATCCTTACTTTGTACTCCTTGTTCGTCCTTACTTAGTTCTCCTTGTTAATCCTTACTTAGTTCTCCTTGTTCATCCTTACTTAGTTCTCCTTGTTCATCCTTACTTAGTTCTCCTTGTTCGTCCTTACTTAGTTCTCCTTGTTCATCCTTACTTTGTACTCCTTGTTCATCCTTACTTAGTTCTCCTTGTTCATCCTTACTTTATACTCCTTGTTCACCCTTACTTAGTTCTCCTTGTTCATCCTTACTTTGTACTCCTTGTTCATCCTTACTTAGTTCTCCTTGTTCATCCTTACTTTGTACTCCTTGTTCATCCTTACTTAGTTCTCCTTGTTCATCCTTACTTTGTACTCCTTGTTCATCCTTACTTAGTTCTCCTTGTTCATCCTTACTTTGTACTCCTTGTTCATCCTTACTTAGTTCTCCTTGTTCATCCTTACTTTATACTCCTTGTTCATCCTTACTTAGTGCTTCTTGTTCATCCTTACTTTATACTCCTTGTTCATCCTTACTTAGTACACCTTGTTCCTCCTTACTTAGTTCTCCTTGTTCATCCTTACTTTGTACACCCTTGTTCATCCTTACTTTGTACTCCTTGTTCATCCTTACTTAGTTCTCCTTGTTCATCCTTACTTTGTTCTCCTTGTTCATCCTTACTTTGTACTCCTTGTTCATCCTTACTTAGTTCTCCTTGTTCACCCTTACTTAGTTCTCCTTGTTCATCCTTACTTAGTTCTCCTTGTTCATCCTTACTTTATACTCCTTGTTCATCCTTACTTTATACTCCTTGTTCATCCTTACTTAGTGCTTCTTGTTCATCCTTACTTTATACTCCTTGTTCATCCTTACTTAGTTCTCCTTGTTCATCCTTACTTTATACTTCTTGTTCATCCTTACTTTATACTCCTTGTTCCTCCTTACTAAGTACTCCTTGTTCATCCTTACTTTGTACTCCTTGTTCATCCTTACTTTGTACTCCTTGTTCATCCTTACTTAGTTCTCCTTGTTCATTCTTACTTTGTACTCCTTGTTCGTCCTTACTTAGTTCTCCTTGTTCATCCTTACTTTGTTCTCCTTGTTCATCCTTACTTTGTACACCCTTGTTCATCCTTACTTTGTACTCCTTGTTCACCCTTACTTATTTCTCCTTGTTCATCCTTACTTTGTTCTCCTTGTTCATCCTTACTTTGTACTCCTTGTTCATCCTTACTTTGTTCTCCTTGTCCATCCTTACTTAGTTCTCCTTGTTCATCCTTACTTTGTTCTCCTTGTTCATCCTTACTTTGTACTCCTTGTTCATCCTTACTTAGTTCTTGTTCATCCTTACGTTGTTCTCCTTGTTCATCCTTACTTTATACTCCTTGTTCATCCTTTCTTAGTTCTCCTTGTTCATCCTTACTTAGTACTAGGAGGGCAAGGCATCGTAGAAATGATCTTCATCAGCAAGTGTAGTAACTTCTATCACCCACAATGCTATTTTGACATTAAGTGGAGGCTTGATTGACCTGCTGCCATGATATGTTGTTTGTTTGTTGTTTTACGCCGCAATATTCCAGCTATATGACGGCGGGCTGTAAATAACATAGTCTGGATCTGAAAATCCAGTGATGGATATCATGAGCATCGAACTTCCAAATTGGGATACGATGACATGCAACCATTTTAGCAAGCCTGATCACCCGATCCCGTTAGTCGCCTCTTACAGAAAAGCATTGGTTGATGAAGACCATTCCTAATATAAATCTTCACGGGTCTGCCATGATAATGTTGTAGTGCTGCTAACTGCGGCGTTAATCAACAGTCAATCGCTCTCTCACCCACTCGAAAATTCCAGCTGTTATTCGTTTTGAACCCAAATGGATTCCAGGTCAGAATAGGTCACCAGCACTCTATGCTTGTCGTAAGAGGCGGGTGAATGGATTGGGTGGTCAGACTGGTTGAGACTCGAGTATCGACTTTAAACAAAAAACAAACATCTTTCTGGTTGTTGTTGTTGTTATTGTTGTTGTTGTTGATGATGGTGATGATGATGGAAGTAGAAACGTAATTTGGCTTTACCTGCACATTTATATAATCATCACAACGTCGTGTGGTGCCCAATATTTGATGACGTCACATGACACAGACAGGCCTTGACACATGATTGACAAGTTGCGGTGTGTATTGCTCAGTGACGTTCACTAATCATGCCTGGCTAATTATAAACAGTCGGGCAGGTTTCATTACTTGTTTAAACACGCTTGTCAGGTTTAACAAAGAGTAATGAGGTTTAGGAAGGTTAAAGGTGGATTTTAAGACGAAGTAAAGCTATTCCGCAAGTTTATTAACCTTCATTTGTCACGATAATTGCACCATAAAAGCATATTCCTTAATTTTCAGTTCGCCTTTAACATCGCTTGTGTCAAAAGAAGAACGAAGTTATTCTTATTGTAAAACTTACAGGAATCTTGTTCTTTTGAATGTTTAAACTGTAAAAAATAAATGTAAATGTATATAATAATGTCAATAATAATCGGTCCAGATTATCCACCGAAACAGATTCTATTTGGCGTTAAGGGCAAAACAGCTGTGAACATTTTATGTATGGGCCACTGAAAACCAGAATTTTTGAATGATTAGTTTTGTCATTATATTCCTTATTTTAACAGATCACTACTGACAGGATTCAACAAGTATCTTGGACCATCGGAGGAAAATATTCTACTCGATGAACTTTCGGTACTAACCCGGAAGTAAACGACGGAATCTTCCCACGCGATGACTTCACACTCCTCGTAGCATCGTCATATATAAATCCCCGCTTATCAGAACCATTTAAGGATGTCAGTGGATCGTATATAAATATGAGAACCTATTGTAATTCCCGGAAACAGGACAGCGTGGGCAAAGTGGAGGACATATTGTTGAATATTTTGCCATCTTGACAAACCTTAGGCAGCTGAATTGTGTGTTGGTGAAATTCGATTTTAACTGGATACATTTTATCGAATTTTAATATTAACTGATATTGAATGGACTTTGAATTTCACCTGTGGATTTTACAGAATATTTCCCGGATCCATTCGTTCAAATCCAAGCACATGACGTAAATTCATTTCAGATAAAAAGACTAATAATCGCCAAAATAGGTATATGTTTCATTATCCGGAGGATATTTCACTCTGAAAGGACGTCTACTGTTAATTGCACGCAAATACAAAATGTCAAATTGTGAGCTGTGAGTCAACCTGTTGTGACGTTTTCTTCTCAACTGTTGCATTTATTAATCAATCGTTCGTCACCGCTATGCCGTGTAACAATGGATATGTCCGACTCTTTCTCTTTTCAATATTCACGTATTTCACGTGCTTGTGGGAATTAGCCTATGGGAGAGCTCGTCTTATAGAGCCTACGATGAGATCGAGTTTATGGAGGCTAGGCGATGTCAACGTGCCAATGAACTATCTCGATGAGCTGTTGAATTGTGGTGGGTTTTATGTAAGTATTTCTTTTATTGTTTATTTGTCTTACAGCGTTTGAATGTATTTTTATGAGCCATAGGAATTAGATTTGTGCGATTAAAAGTCATATTTATATTTCCTAATGAAGGGGTGGTTGGGTAGCTTTGTGGATAAAGCCTTAGTCCATCACGATCCAGACCCGCTTTCTATTCTATAAATGAGGACAATGTATGGAACTAATTCATATTGTAACCCGCCCTGATTTTAAAAGAATGTTGCTACAAGCAGCGTGACCCGTGAGGATTCCCGTTAGAATGCGAACGCGAAAGGCGACTATGTCTGTCGTAAGAGGCGACTAACGGAATCGGGTGGTCAGGAATGGTTGATGAATGTCATCGATCCCAATTGCGTGGATCGATGCTCATGATATCAATCACTGGATTGTCTGGTCCAGACTCGATTATTTACAGACCGCCGTCATAGAGCTGGAATATTGCTGAGTGCGGAGTTAAACAACAAACCAACCAACCAATTATGATGTCAATCACTGGATTGTCTGGTCCAGACTCCATTATTTACAGACCGCCTTCATATAGCTGGCATATTGCTGAGTCAACATTTGCCAATGAAAACAGCTTTTACGAGCTATACGGCACAAGTTTCAAACTGGCAGCTCCATTCCAGAATAGCTTTGAAAAAATATTTTGTAAATGCACATTATATATCTACCTTTTCATATAGACGTATTGAACTAGATTTGAGATCGAGGCATACCTCTTTTTGACCCCGTGTTTGCACAACAACCTCGATAATGTACTAAATCATATCATGAATAAATTTTATAACTAATATTTATGACCAAAGAAATAAATGTCGCGCTCACATTCCCGACCTGTCAAGACGCGTGGCTCCTATTTTTGGCCAAGTGATTGCTCATTTTGACAAGATTGGATGGGAAAGCCTGCCAGGAGATTCAGTGAACTTGCAGCACGACATTTTGTCAGTAGCTGAAGTCCTGCAATTTGAAGTATCATCACGAACTATCGCGACGATTTATTAACAAAGATAACTGCAAGTATGCTTATACAAATAAAGCAAAACCAAGCCATTCCGGCGAAAAGGAATTTGATTTATAGTTATGACAAAAATTGCAAAACTGCGCTTTTCAAGACACATTTATTTTGCTGGCGATAAAAATGACCGTTGAGTTTTGATATAAGGTTGTCTTTGAGTATGTCGGCAGTCGGCGACACTATTTAGGCTACATTTAGCAGTGTGTCTAATCGTGCGTACATTACCAGCACGATCCGAAGGAAAAACATGTGCCCATGTAGTTTATAGAGCCATTGACCAATTTCACTTCTCAATATACCTGCTCACAGTCACCTGCCTGCAGTTTCCTCCCTGTATTGTAACCTCATGATCAAAACTCGACGATGTTTATAGTTAGCAAAATAGATATTTCTTGTAAAGCGCACTTTGCGTGTCCGCCGCCCTGATTCGCTACGTTCCTTCGTCTTATCGTGTTTCGCTGGTCGTGTGTTCGAATCATTTGGCCCCCAAAATATACCTGTATTTCCTATTTCACTCTGTCCCAAAAATTGTAGGTAGGTCCCGTGTTTTGCAATATGTTTGTGGAGACCTGTTTTGAAATGAAGACAATGTCTGGTTGTATGGAATATGACCAATATCAGGACGGGGATCAATGCTATCATGGTGCAAACGAGAAATGAGTTTAGGCGACGGGGACACAAGATTAGGGTCGGCAAAAAAACAATTCATGTTTTCGTTTTTGGCTTTAGCATCTGTGGTTTCTTGCCATAACAGTACGCGCATGCGCATCTCTATATGAGCGAAAGAATCATTAACGCGACGTTATTTACCCCTCACCTCAGCACAGTAAGTCGGTACCCATGACAACGAAAACAAATGGACCGTGAAGATACGGGAGGAGAATAGGTCTTCAGCATCCCATGCTTGCCGTAAAAGGCGACTATGCTTGTCGTAAAATGCGACTACAGGATCGGGTGGTCAGGCTCGCTGACTTGCGTGGATCGATGCTCATGATGTCAATCAGTGGATTGTCTGGTCCAGACTCGATTATTTACAGACCGCCGTCATATAGCTGGAATATTGCAGAGTGCGGCGTTAAACAACAAACAAACAAACAAACTAAAATACTGTTCAATGCGTAGTTAAACCTGTCCCCTTCGATCACATCATTTGTATGGCGAAACATTAATATCAAATTGATGTTTACATTGAACATTACGACTTAACTATTGTTTTATAATTTACTGTGTTTCATACATGAAATAATTAATTAATGCACCATTCAATTTTGTTAATACTGTTTTGTTTGTTTCTTGTTTAACGGTGCAATCAGCAACGTTCCATCCCATATGAGACCCGTGTAGATCCGTTCTAGAATAGGTCTTCAGCAACCCATGCTTGCCGTAAAAGGCGACTATGCTTGTCGTAAGAGGCGACTACAGGATCGGGTGGTCAGGCTCGCTGACTTGGTTGATACATGTCATCGGATCCAAATTGCGTGGATCGATGCTCATGATGGCAATCACTGGATTGTCTGGTCCAGACTAGATTATTTACAGACCGCCGTCATATAGCTGGAATATTGCGAAGTGCAGCGTTAAACAACAAACACACAAACTAAAATAATGCTCAATGCGTAGTTAAACCTGTCCCCTTCGATCACATCATTTGTATGGCGAAACATTAATATTAAACTGATGTTTACATTGAACATAAGGACTTAACTATTGTTTTATAAGTTACTGATTTTACATACATGAATTAATTAATTAATGCACCATTTAATTTGTTAATAATGTTTTGTTTGTTTCTTGTTTGACGCCGCAATCAGCAACATTCCATCCTTTATGACGGCGGTCCGTAAGCAATCAATAGTCATCGACCCAGACCACCGGATCCCGTTAGTCGCCACCAAGCGCACATAGCAATTGTTCTTTAATGGTGAAAAAATATATATGGCATTCAAATTTAGCATCTGCTATGTGGAAAATTTTCAAGGAAAACTATTTGCTTATGTAAAAATCGCCCGAGGTCCTTTGCGGGCCGGAAATGCTGACAGTTTGATTGTTTTGCGTGCGATCATGTGTTGTCTGGTTTGTGAAATGTTGTGTAAGGAGTCACTTGAATAAACAATGTGTCTTGCTCAAGTTTATGTGACACATGCAGAAGATTTATCTTTATTTCGTCTCAAGGCTCCTAATTATATTCTTAAAAGTTTTGTGTGGCAGTAAGTGTGTTCCTCAAACTCATACACACAAAAAACAAGACAAATTATTTGATTGAAATCTAATTTATCAACGCAAGTTGTAACAGCATTTTGACAAATATGCACCCAAACACCAAAATTTGGTTTGCTTGTTGTTTGACAACGCACTCAGCATTATTCCAACTATGTGACGGCGGTCTGTAAATAATCAAGTCTAGACCACACATTTAAGTGATTGACATCATGGGCATCGACGCCATTGGGATACGATGACACGCATCAACCAAGCCCGTTTTGTGATTTTTATTCAGTGGTGGTGTGCTTGATCATGGCTGTGTTTTGGACCTCGGGTTTGCAGTGTTTGGGCGACTGTGTTTATGTGTGTGTCATGGCAAAGTGAAAAGAACGTTATTGGAGGGAGAGCAACTTGACTGAAAAAGCAATACACGCATGACGTTAAAAACCTAAATGCAAAAAACGTACAAGCTAAAAGGAATCATACATAGAATGAAAAAACGAAAGAAAGATAGATCTAGTGAAAATCATCACCATTACCACCTCCATTACCACCACCACCGTTGTTGAATGTATTTTCACGACAATGTGATGTCCTCTTTAATGCAGGAACAATGGCAAAACGCCGCTGGACGATGCGGCGCGTGCGGTGACGCATACAATGACGTCATCAAGCAAAACGAATATCCTGGGATCTACTCCAAACAGGCTCCGATTAAAACAATCCAAATGGGACAGAAGTTGAACGTGACTGTGTACACTAGACAGAATCTGCTCGGCTACTTTGAGTTCCGACTCTGTCCACGTCAAGAAGGTCCTGTTGGTCCAAACCTTGAGACATGCTTCAAAACGCATCCGGCATTAGTAATTGAGGAAACTAATTCTACTCGCTATTACACCGGAAGCGGAAGGGAGTATTATGACATGCATCTGCGTATGCCTGAGGGACTGAGCTGTCAGATCTGTGTGTTACAGTGGAAGTATCACACTGGTGAGTATTCCAGCAGTCTAACTGTTAACTTTTAACTGTAAAGCCTAACTGTTAACTGTAGAGTGAGGTGTGCACCATTTGGCGTGCAGGGCCCCGTTTCACAAAGCTATCTTCGAGCTACGACTATCGTAAGTCAATGTTATAGTATGAGAGTTACAATCATCTTAGCACTACGATCGAATTGTGAAACGGGCCCTTGCTCCGTAACAGAAAGCACTGGAACAAAATAATTTTGCCTCAGGTTTACCAAAAAAGTTGTTCACTTGACTGGATGCTGTGAACAATAATATGTTGTATAAAAAAAATATTTCAGCTCCTCCTGGAAATGTATGTTTTAACATACCCCCTACACCACAACGATATTCTTAATTTCGTTATCACTCCGTTGTTTAATTTGAAAATTACGGCCTTAACGATAGAAAAGGAACACAAAACACATAAATTCCCTCGATTGTGCACCCGTTTTCTCTTTTTATTGACCACTTAGAACTGCTCGTGAACTTTAATGTTGTTGGTTGGTTGGTTGTTATTTAACGCCGCTCTCAGCAATATTCCAGCAATTTGACGGCGGTACTTTCATCTTCGAGGTACAGAAATCGGATGTGCTTCTCCGAATGCTCCTACCGAAAATTTAGAGACTCTACACTGATTACCTGTTTGTAAAATTCACTAGACACTTCCTCCAATGAAAGGCTTGTCAGATCTTCCTGCATAAAGGTAAACTATTTGAATTTAATGAGATTGACCGTCATTACTTCATATTCCACCATACCCTGTGACATCTTCCCGAGGCAAGAGAGTGAACTGACTTTAAAAGTCCAGTTTCAACCCCTGTCGAACTAGGCTGGAATGCTGTGGCTCGATCGTAGCGCCACCAGTGTCTGTTGCGAGTTATGTCCCTTCTATGCCTCACCTATGGACCAATCAGATTCCGGCCCTCGTATTACTTGCATTTGTTTTAAACAAACTGGCGGCGCCCTGTCAAGACGATCTGATCGACAATCAAGATCTATATTGTGATAAAATTTGGTCTTCCATCGCAAAGTGCGTCAAATCAAAACTGGACTTTTATAGTCAGTTAACTCTCTTGCCTCACTCACTCACACACTCACTTACTCACTCACTCATGTTTCAGGGTACCGCATGGGTCGAGACCACAACGGGTGTAAAGAATGCCTCGGGTGTGGACCCCAGGAAGAGTTCATCAACTGCGCAGACATCCGAATCCTTGGCGGGTCGAACAGCACGACCAACGGTCACGACAACGGACATGGTTCCATCGGTCGCAGTGGTAACAACCACGACACGACAGTGACCAACAACATCAAATCTGGCATCGTCTACACCTACCCCCGGGCTGGTTTGCATTACGCCTACGTCAAACCCAACACCCAACCTTCCTCTCCCACCACGTCATCAACCACGACAACACCAACCACGACCGTATCTACTACAACTACAACGACTACCACACCAACTACAACCACTCAAACAACGACTACAACAACACAGGCCACAACGACTATGACGACAGCGATGACTACAACTGCAATATCCCAATCTTTTGCAGCGTCATCAACTGCATCCTCTCCACCGCAGAACACAACACAGCAGCCTTGTAACGAAAGGTTTAGGAACATAATCTGTGGGCCAGCGAAACCCCAACAGTCCGTTAAAGGAATGTACGGGTGGTGTAGTCGACATTGTCGGGCCGGAAGTTGCCCTGACCACTATTGTATGTGCTTTTGTGAGTACCCGGATGGCGCCCAGGTCCATCTAAATAGCAACTATTATGTCATGAACAGCTCTTTTCCGAAGACCGGATTTCCAGTAAAAACAATGTGTTATGTTCCTACAGGACAGTGGCGTTCGAACCCTGGTATGAATCTTTGGTGTCAGATGAATTGTCCCGGCGCTTCATGTGAACGTGTGTGCGTCCGGGCAGTTTGCATTTGAGAGTTATCTCCCCTAATGTCCTTCAAATAGCATCCTTGATACGTTTGTGGAAGAAACAGGTCGTGTGACTGACTCGGGACTGCTACGCTGGCTTGTCTAATTGGGAAATGCGTGGCTTTTGGGGGAAGACCATTAATTCGTCCCGCCTCACCATCAAGCGCCCGTTGGGATAGGGTTGGTTAGAATAGGCCCCTAGAATCCATTACCGGTCGTAAATGGCGACTAAAGTGGATCAGGTGGCCAGGATCTGTAACCTGACTGATTACGTGTCATCGGCCCAATGGCGTGGATCGGTGTTCATGTTTTCAGTCACTGGTTTGCGTGGACCAGACTCCATTATATAGATGTCCCCGTGACATAGCTGGAGTGCGGCGAAAAGCGACATTCACTCACTCATCAATCCAGATGTTCGTGCGAACAGAGACCATGTGATTTACTAGAGCCTGTGTGTAGCTAACACGATCGGAACGATCTCAAGGGACACTTCAGCTAACTTTAGATTACTTTAGCGATCTCAGTTGGTGTTTTTATTTTATTTTATTTTATTTTATGGGGTTGGCTCCTCATGCATGTTGTCCACTTGGCATTATCAAACAATTCTCAGTTGAGGTGAGGTAACCCTTCTCGTCAATACGTACAGTTGTCAGACAGCTGGTGTTGCTCAAAGGTCATCGCATGGTGCTTTCATTGGAGTAACTTCCCTTTGGTGTTTCCAATTCCTTGATTGTTTCCATAATTCAGGAATATTCATGAACGAAAACAGTAAGAGATCATGAATATTTTTGGGGATATTTGTATAAAATTGTGTGCTCAGTCTTCAATAGAAAAATTATCCCCAAAATGGTAATGATCCCTTACTTATTTTCTTCAGTATTCATCTCTCACGGCGACAGTGAGCCACTTGTGCATACATCTGTGTAACAGTCAAGCACTATTTCTGTGTTTATAGCGAGCCTAGTTCTGATATTTGTATATCGGATATGCTAAAAACAATCCTAATGGTGAGCCAGGATAAGTTGCGTTGTGACCTAACAATTAACCTTGTATGGCTATGTATGAGGTCCGCCCATTGGCGTGTACCATTGTGAAGAAAGGGGTAGCGGGTGGTCCGCGACAAGTAGTTCAATTGATATGTGCGTGTCCTGTCTTGGCTAACGAGTTCCACTGATTCCCGCGTGTTGTTATAGCTTCATCGTTTCTTTACTAGATTACTTAATCTGAGTTCAATGGAAGTTAGTAATCACATTCTCTGAGTTCAATTTTAACAATTTTAGTAGATTATCTCTTTCTTTATTTTTCCGTCTCACGAGTTCAACGGAAGTTAGTAATCACATTCTCTGAGTTCAATTTGTTTTATCTCTTTCTTCACTTTTCCGCCTCACAACACCCCAGTGTCCTCAATGTATAAGTGTCCGTTGTATACATAACGAGGGTACACATCACTGATCTTTTCATTCGCCTTCCCGGTCCCCAGTCCCTTACCCCTCCATTCGCCTTTCCGGTACTACTGGTAAATAGATTTTCGACTTCCCGGGCCGACACCGAAAACAGTGACAGGAAATTTGCACAGATAACAACAGTCAACACACACCTTTGTCACGAGCGATGCTCCTGCTCTTATGCGCTTGGCAAAGCTAGTTTTTGATAATGCTTGAGATATATTTGTACACTCTTTCTCCATGTAATTCATGAATTACACGCTAATTATCGAGCCTGTATGATTTGGCCATGTTTACCAAACCTTGACATGTTTTTTGTTTGTAATATTTCTCTGAAACGACTTTTAGAAAATTCTGGTATCGACTTGTCACGCTGACCTCTAAACGGCCTATGAGCAACACGCGTGTTCATGGGAGCGTTGTCCATTTCATCATAACCCGCACGTGCAGAACATGCGTACACCCTCTCTACCTGTAACAAACCAAATATGTTTGCCCAAAATCTGTGCACCGCCTACTTGTCTCAAACGCGTTTTGTGAGTTGATTCAGCTTATCCTGGCTTACCAGCTACTGGTAGACACGCGTGAGACAACCTCAACCTGCCACTTGACCCCTGGGGTGTGCTGGATACACGATGGAAAGGGGCGTTTTCCTGGAACCAGCGTGACAGTACCTTTCAAAAGCAATATGACATAAATACAGTATAGGTTGTAATCTGGAATATCACTTTGTCTTTCAATAAATCGGCAGCTCGATATTTACGCTCCGGACGCAAGTGTTAACTCGCATTTGGTACATATTGCATGTGGAACATCCACATTAATTCATTGTGCACGTGCGTAACGTGTACTTTCACATCAACCCGAAAACAAACTGAATGAACTTGGCCAAGTCACGGGAACCGCTACTTCTACTCTCGGTGATACGTCGGTGTCCTCCATTGCGTATGTTATGACAACGGGTTATTTGAGAGTATTGGTTGATGCATGTCATCGTTTCCTAATTGTGTACATCGATGCTCGTGTTGTCAATCACTAGATTGTTAACTTCGGTCCAGATACGATTATTTACAGACTGCCCGTATTTCAGAAAAAATATTGCTGATAATTTAAGATAAGGTGCACCTTCATGACCAATTAGAGATAAACACTTTTGCTTTTATGGTGGGAATTGGCTGCGAAATTCACATTCTAAATAGTCCACAATGCATTTGCTTTGGGTTTGTAGAGGGCTGCTCCATGGTGGGTATTCATTGAGAGTCTATAGCGAGACTCTTGACCTCCCTATGGTTAAGAATAATTATTAATATCAATTATTCCGATACGACCGTATGCAGGTTGTTGCCAAATTGTGTTTAATTGATTATTTAATAATAATAAATAATTAATGATAATCGTTTATTTTAATACATAACTCATTTGTAGGTGCAACGTTGTAACATATATTATGTAACAAAAGTGTGATCATATTCGTGTGTTATCATGTGTTTTGGTTAAAACGCTTCTTCTAATTGTCTTAATCTTTGGTATACTGGTGAGAATCGGTCATCAGCAATCCATGCTTGAGGTGTCTGGTCCACACTTGATTATTTATAAACCATATAGCTGGAATAGTGCGGCGTCAAACAACAAACAAACAAAACTGGGGCAGTGGTGTTTATATTTCAGAAGATTTATTATCATTGTTTCATAAAATTCAGTGTACGAATTTAAACATCGTCAAGCTTTTTAAACTCTTTATTATACTCTATTGGGTTTGAAGAGTTCCGTGATATAACTGAAAAACTGTTCCAAATGGCGTTAAACTCGACTACCTCACAGACATGAAAACACCTGTGTGGTTTCCAGCAATCCATGCTTGTCAAAAGATTTGTTTGTGTTGTTTGTTGTTTTACGCCGCACACAATATTCGAGCTATATGACTGCGGTCTATGAAGCTGCGTTATTAATAGACAGTGTGGTCAGGCTCGATGACGTGATTGATTGCATGCCATCGTACTCCTACAGCGTGATCGTCAAGACTCGATTATTTACGGGCTGTTGCTGTTTGCGGAGTTAGAGGATGAATCAAACAAGTCAATATCATATAAATCCATATTAAAGTTAACTACGGTTATAACGAACTCAAAGGGACCGCTTAATTTAGTTCGTTATAACTGTAGTTCGTTATAAGCATATATAAAGCAAATGGCTGGGACTAAAAAAAGTTCGTTATATCCGTTTGTTCGTTATAAGCGAGTTCGTTATAAAGGTAGTACTGTAATTATTATTTTTCAGTCATTAATGAATTGATATGATCACAATTACTTTTGTTTATGAGTGAATGACATGCATACCTTCTACGTATACGTTTTTGATTTGCTTCATAATTGTCACCCATGAACGAAAGAATTGCAGGTTTCTGACGGTGTTTAGGTTAAGCAATATTCACATGAACAGCGGATATAAAGTGCGTTGCGTCCCTTGGGCGTGCCAGAATCCTATGGTCGTTGGTTTAAGTCCCACTTAAACATAATTATTACCCTTGGTTTGTCAGCACCATACCCGTGATCGTGTGTTTCGTAAAAGTGGTAAACGTCTTAATTGAGTCACCTTGAGCTTTCCTCCCACTTTAAGCTTACACGACGTGATATTACTAAAATGATGTTCAAAGCGGCAGAAACCACGCCCCTCTCGTTATACTGTACAGCACACAATATATATCATATATATGTACATTTTGTATGTTCCTGGCCGAGTGAGATGTTGCATGGTGTGTCGCAATCATGAAACTGCAATAGGTACGATTCAGCCTTTATTTATTTACGTGTGTTGGACACAGCTGTATATTTTATCAATAAAAGCTTGGATACTGTGTTGGTTTTTGTCTAAAATGTTTTTGAGCCTGAAAATAGCTTGCACGATCAAAAAGACGTGAAAACCAGCTGGCAAACGTGCTTATTCGGAAATCAGAACAGACTGGTTCTAATGCAATCCTTTCGGTTCTATTTACATATTCTTTTGCATAATTATATAGATATGCTACTACAACTGCGACAGCGAGGCGCATGGCAATATATCTTTATTGCCAGGCGCCGTGTCTAATTTGTTATGGGTTTGAGAAAATTACATGGGGCATGTGCCATAGGGATGAGTAATCGTTGGAAAGATGTAACCAAACTTTTAAAAGAAACCTTATCTTGGTCTCAAAGTTTGGTTACATAATTATGAAAATATTTTTTAAACATTCCTAACCTTAAATTAACTCTCAACATGTTATGTTATTCGGATACAATCATAACTATGGAGCCACGTCCTGTCTTAGACACTCTCATAGAGGTGTATGGTCATGGTTAAACATAACAAACGCACTCACAACGTTGTGGGTTTTAATTTTAACAATATCTGCATGTCTCCTTGTGCAGATCTACTTCATTTTAAAGCCATATTACAACAGTAGCTATTACTTTGAATAGATTAACTATAAAATAATATCAATAATTTTACCACTGTAGATATGTCAATGTCAACAGTCCCATGTGTACCACTATGATTGTGTCAACTGAATACCCCATGTTCCTTGAAAACAATAACCTTTTTTATAAAGTTGTTGTGAAAACATATTGCTAGTTTTGTTTTCATAATATGTTTGTTTCTACTGTAATATTACATAAATGTTTAAACTGAAACGTGCATATTCCCATTCCTAATTCTGAAGGTACCACATGCAAATTACAATTTGTTTTAAGTTCTGGGTTACATATGTACGCTTTATGACAGTACAGGTACTTGCGTCAATAGGTAGGTATTGTACAAAATGTCTTTGCCGCGTTGATCCTCTGGATCAATATTATGTTGTACATCACTGTGAGGGCGGTCGGGTAGCCTAGTGGTTAAAGCGTTCGCACGTCACCCCGAAGACCCGGGTTCGATTTCCGACATTGGTGCAATGTGTGAAGCCCATTTCTGTTGTTCCCCGCCGTGATATTACTGGAATATTGCTAAAAGCGGCGTAAAACCATACTCACTCACATCAAAGTGACCGTATCTCAAGCTCTCCGTAAGGCTGCGATGACACCTATGAAGCCGTACAAACAATGTAAACAAAGAACAAATACACAAATGGAAATAGATTTTCACGCTCTATGTTATTTTTTCACTGAAAGTTTACCATTCTATGACATATGTTTTAATATATATTTCGAATTGTCAAAAATGAAACAGATGAAAAACATTGTGCAGTATTTTGAATGGACTGTGTAAGATTGGACGGATCGCCACCTGTCGCTAGCCTGTGGCAAAGGTACTAGGCTGACCGCATGGAACTCTGGGTAAAAGAGTGGCCATTAAATGACTGAAAGGAAGTCGACATCAGCCATTAGCCAATCCATTCAAGACCAAATATCGAAATATATTTTGATAAAGTTCTCGATTCAAAATTTGAAACCTGAACGAAAGAAACTCTGAAATGTTTAATAATTGCCGAGGAATGTGTGGCAGTTTATAAGAATATTAGGTCTATAGTCACTATGGATGGCGAAGTGTGGCATCGATATAAATCTATTGATATTCTAAGTTACCATCGATGGATATTGAAATAGGCTCATGGATAAATTCCATCATTCGCTTCAATTTACAGAGCTTTAGTCTAAAAGCCGCATTTTCTTCCTCTCATAATCTGTCGCCATTGGAACGGATGGTTCTGTTGTATAGTGGCACTGGTGGCCCTGTCGTCTTAAGGTCGGGCCTCACCGTAACATCGCAGCGCGCCGGTTGCAAAAACATCGCGTAAATTTTTATGTAACCTACACTGAAGCAGCAACGCTAGTTTTGTATCAAAATTATAGTGATTTCTCCTGCTTTCTGATCAACGCACAGGGGGAAATCTCATACTTGTGACGGGGCGGTGGGGTAGCCTAGTGGTTAAAGCGTTCGCTCGTCACGCCGAAGATTTGGGTTCGCTTCTCCACATGGGTACATTGTGTGAAGCTCATGTCTTGAGCTACAGGGTAGCCAAACAAAGATCTGAAGACATCCCATTAGGGGTCACGTCAGAACGACCTTTCATCCGACCAATCAGAGCGTCGCTTACCAGATCATGAAAGTGACAGTCGAAATGAGATTTCTAATCATACAACCTCGAAAACTTTAACACGGGTTATTCCGAACGATAGTTACGGGTTTTAACGACTGAATCCATACAATCTAGATCATCTATTAGCCATTCTAGAATGTTCTTTTGTTTAGGTTTCCAATTTGTAATCGAGAATTTGTCAAAATATGTTGCGAAGCGTTGACGCCAATTTGAAATAAGTGCCGCAAAGCACGAGAAAGCTGCCTTCTGATTGGTCATTCCATTGGTCAGTCAAAATTCGCGCAAGGTCGGTCTGACGTGACCCGTAATGGGATGTCCTCAAATCTTTGTTTAGCGGCAGCGAGAACTAAGATCTGATTTTATTGAGATTGTATCTAACCATGCTTACATGTCTAGACCACGTTGGTTAGCCGGAAATGGTGTTACATGTTTTCGTTAGTTATACCTAAGACGCACTTCAGTTCACTGTGGGTAATAATATTGTTATTATTAGGTAATTACATTCAAGGTAAAGTTTTCAGTATCTTGTATATTTAATATGACATTTGAATATCTAGATTGAGTGGAAACATTTTATTTGTTTGAGCTTGAACCGACGACTAGATCATGGAATACAATGTACAAAACACTGCGGTGTAAACAAAATGTGAAGATGAAGTAAAAAATCGACTTCCAGAAACAATGCCCTTTTGTTGTCCTTACACACTTACTCCTACTTGTGACGTCAACTTCAGACAGATAGACATTCACTTTATTTCACTATGAGGTGAAACCTCACGAACACTCGCAATAACATGCAGTGTCTTGTTCGCTCAGTTGTACCAACAACATCGCCTGTAGCAAACATTGACGGGAAATGATAAACTCTCGAGGTAGAGCAGCATCCATGTTTATATCAAGTGGGTTAAGCAACCTACAAAGATATCAACGTGGCTTCAAATGCGTGGAAAGCCATTATAGCCACATGGTTGATGGTGCAAGTGGTTTGGGTGGCCCAATCGTCTAAGGCGCCGTAATCAGCTATGCAGAGTTGCGTCCCATGGGCACGCCAGAAAGCTATGTTCGTGGGTTCGAACCCCAGTTCGCTCCGATTAGGTTGTCAGCACCATACCAACGTGGATTTCACGAAAATGACTTAGGGTATTCCTCCCAGATAGCGCTGACACGCCACCACAGAAATCAGTTCTTCAGAAGTCTTTGTCGAGCAAGAGCGTGATCCGGTTCATCAAAGTGCTGGTGCCCAAACACGTCCCAAACATAATCAACTAAAAAGTTCAGACAGACAGGTATTGTTTAAATTCAGAGGTGAAAGCAGTTCTTGGTGATTACAAAATAATTTCGAAAGGTAAACGGAACTGCCGTGACTGAGCGCGATGTCCCCAGCCCGTGCTTTACGTGCAACACGTGTCAAGATTGCCCTTGTTTCTGGGAGGCCACCTGCGCACATCCACGCCATTCAAATGCAAACACAATTGTCAAGTAGATCAGCAGACAGACGATGTGTGTCTCGAGCATTACGTGCAGCACGGGCCACGTGTTACAGTGATCGTCATCGCTTGAGGTGGCATGACAGGTGTAGTGTGGACAAAATAACTGGCAATGCGTTCACCGGAGCATCTTTAACAAAAACTGTATCATACGACTTGTCGAGATAATCCTTCTTATTCAGGAAAACGTGTATATAATAATTGCATTCAAACAGTTTGTGTTCTCTTTGACAATTTAACTTTTTATCTTGGTCATAAAAAGAACGCACGCTCAAAAAGTTAAACTTATAGCTTTCGTAACCAAGCTTTTTCTCTCTTGCTTTAATATTATTTTCTTCATCTGGCTGGGATATTTCCCTCCTCAGATGGCGCTGTTTGTGTCCATCCATCTTTTCATCTCATTCATTAACGAATCTAGAGCGCCTGTCCGGAAAACGGGAGGTCCGTGGTTTGATCCCCAGCCGCGTATCATGTCCGCTATATTTTCTAGAGAGAGGATATTTTTGTTTCAAAACATACAAAAACATTATCTTCAAAGCAGAGTGTAACATTATTAATTTTTGTCCTTCTTTACAAAAATAACTCAAAGTTCACTGCGTCAACGTCATAAAGATTTATTGTGCATATTGTACGACAATACGCAGTTTATCTGGAGCTCTGACCACGTGATTAAATGTGGTCCCACTTGATCGTAAATCATTCATGGAATCACTGCAAATCCTCTTTATGCTATTATGTATGACCTTTAGTTTAATACACGTTCTGTTCTTACAATCTGTTCTTTAAACACACCTTTATTTTCGACAACTTCTTCCGACCACAACTCATGCCAAGCTACAAATAGTATAATACACACATTTATGTATTTTTATTCCGACTTATGTAATTTTACATTTAAAACAGTAAACCATCAAAAACACAAAAAACAGTAAAAAAACCTAGTTTCATCCAATGAAATATGTTGAATGACTGATCAGGAAAAAATACACCTCATCGGTTTTGTAACACAAAAACATCAGAACGCGACACGTCAGCCACATACGACGTCACACGTGGCAATGCTCATCCCACGAGGATGCTTCCCGACATAGCGCTGAAACAAATCGGAGAGTTTGAAAGAACAAAACATATATTAATAATAATAAACAAATGATTTCCGCAAGTCTCATACTGTAGGTGATGCGTCTGGAGATGACACACGTGATGGGGGACAACCAGGCTGTCAGCTGTCTTCCGTGTTGGTAATTAATTATATACGAGTGACTCTGAGGAAAAGCACGTTTATCCTGGATAAGTGTTCATGTTGTTCTTTGGGTGGATAAATTATGTTTCTAATAGGTGGGGTGAAATGGGGTTTAACGTCACGTCTAAGATTATTGCACTCATATAGCGACGTGCATGCACACGTGTCTGTGTGGCTGCTTTTTCTAGTCCGGACTGATGCCGATTTTTAGTGCTAGCACACTGAGATTACCATGCAATAGTTTAACATGAATACCCCACAGTATACAGTATACTGACTCCGAGCCGACCAGTCCTTGCTTTAAGCCCCTTAATGACGAGCGCCAAACAGGTTAACAATAATTATCATCTTTTAACGTATTTTGGTATGACGCGGCCGGGGAGCGACCCCGGACCTTCCGCTCTCTGGGTAGAATGTTTCTAATAGGAATGGGTACAATGGTTAAAGCCCATTTCTGGTGTCTCACGCTGTGATGTTGCTGGAATATTGCTAAAACGGCTGAAATCTCACTTACTCATTCTAATAGGCATGTCAGCACCATACTGACTTACTCAATGGGTAACTGACCAGATGACTTACTCAATGGCTAACCGACCAGCGCTTTGATTTATTCAATCGCTAACCGACCAGCGCTTTGATTTACTCAATGACTAACCGACCAGCTAACTGATGTACTCAATCGCTAACCGACCAGCTAACTGACTTACTCAATGGCTAACCGACCAGCTCACTGACTAACTCAATGTCCAACCGACCAGCTCTTTGATTCACTCAATCGCTAACCGACCAGCTAACTGACTTACTCAATCGCTAACCGACCAGCTAACTGACTTATTCAATGGCTAACCGACCAACTCAATGGCTAACCGACCAGCTAACTGACTTATTCAATGGCTAACCGACCAGCTAATTGCCTTACTCAATGGCTTACCGACCAGCTCACTTATTTACTCAATGGCTAACCGACCAGCTAACTGACTTATTCAATGGCTAACCGACCAGCTAATTGACTTATTCAATGGCTAACCGACCAGCTAATTGACTTACTCAATGGCTAACCGACCAGCTAACTGACTTACTCAATGGCTAACCGACCAGCTAACTGACTTATTCAATGGCTAACCGACCAACTCAATGGCTAACCGACCAGCTAACTGACTTATTCAATGGCTAACCGACCAGCTAATTGCCTTACTCAATGGCTTACCGACCAGCTCACTTATTTACTCAATGGCTAACTGACTTATTCAATGGCTAACCGACCAGCTAACTGACTTATTCAATGGCTAACCGACCAGCTAATTGACTTACTCAATGGCTAACCGACCAGCTAACTGACTTATTCAATGGCTAACCGACCAGCTAACTGACTTATTCAATGGCTAACCGACCAGCTCACTGACTTACTCAATGGCTAACCGACCAGCTCACTGACTTTTTCTATGGCTAGCCTGTTCACTGCCTGACTCACTCACTCGGCTTCACACAACATGTAGTTCGTCTGTTCACACTGCTCGTCGCTCCATCCCGCCTGTTTGTTCATGTTCAGCGCCAGGCACGTGTCCCAGTTACCCGTGTCGCTATGGTAACTGTTGTCCGGCTGTCCTTGGATCCAGTTCGTGTAGGCGATGGCATTTCCACTGGTCATCCATGTCCACTGCTTGTTGCCGTAGAGGGCAGTGCCACCTGTCCAGAACTTGTTTTTCTCTGTGTGGAGATGGAGACTATTGTTAAAGGTAAGCTCCACTCTTACAAACAGATTGTCAGATTGTGATGAGACCTGCTTGTCCGATTGTCATGGAACCTGCTCGTCAGATTGTCATGGAACTTGCTTGTCCGATTGTCATGAATCGTTGTTGTCAGATTGTCATGGAAACTGCTTGTCCGATTGTCATGAATCGTGGTTGTCAGATTGTCATTGAACCTGCTTGTCCGATTGTCATGAATCGTGGTTGTCCGATTGTCATGGAACCTGCTTGTCCGATTGTCATGAATCGTGGTTGTCAGATTGTCATGGAACCTGCTCGTCAGATTGTCATGGAACTTGCTTGTCCGATTGTCATGAATCTTGGTTGTCAGATTGTCATGGAACCTGCTCGTCAGATTGTCATGGAACCTGCTTGTCAGATTGTCATGAATCGTGGTTGTCAGATTGTCATTGAACCTGCTTGTCCGATTGTCATGAATCGTGGTTGTCAAATTGTCATGGAACCTGCTTGTCCGATTGTCATGAATATTGGTTGTCCGATTGTCATGGAACCTGCTTGTCCGATTGCCATGGAACCTGATTCTGCTGCGAAGTGGTTCGTTGTATGCTGTTGCACTCCATCGCCAAAGACCGATGCTCATGCTGTCGCTCACTGTTTTATTTGATCTGGACTAAATGTCTTTGAATACGTTTGTTTAACTTGTATTCTGTCAACTACAGAGCAAATCGCCATAAACAAACACATTCCATTAAATTCAAGAAATATGCCGCAATTCGGTACTTCGCTTATGTTTGCTTAAAATGTTGTTTTTCCCACGTAGAGAATAGATCTTCAGCAACCCATGATTGTCATTAAGAGGCGACTAACGTGATCGCTGACTTGGTTGATGCATATCTTGGTATCCCAATTGCGAAAATTGATGCTCATGATAATTATCAATTACTCGATTGTCTAGTCCAGACTCCATTATTTACAGACTGCCGTTGTATAGCTTGTATATTGCTGAATGCGGCGTTAAACAACAAACAAACAAATATATCATAATTATTGTCTGATTTGAGTACACAACTAATCTGTGACATGTTAAATGATTTTACAAAAGAACACAGATTATGAAAGTGACGTCACTCAAACGATCACACGTGTCAAGACGTACAAAGACTGAAGGATTGTTTCAGATTAAAAACAAAAAACGAATGGAGTCTATGGAGATATGCGCACATGGTTGCTCATTCATCAAGATGTGACCGGATGTCAAATAATAGACACAAAGATTAAAGTTTGATTCACATATAAAATCCTCAATGAATTAGACACAAAAACTTGCCTCCTTGTCTAGGCTATTCGATTGTCTCAAATACATCAATCAATCTTTTTGATTGCATGTACATTAGAAGAGAGGAGCTATATATTTAATGTCTGAATATACGTCTCCAGTCCTCATTAGGACCACTCCGTCAAATGGGCTTTGAACGTCAGACGGAACTGAAAGTTAAAAAAGTCTTACCTGCGTCGTTTGAAATTAATCCCGCTTACTCATATTAGGATGGGAGTAATAATGTGAATGGACAATTATTCAGATTTGAACTTCCTCAATTTTAGGTTAGTGCAGTTATGACGTTAAAATGTAAGTACTCGTTCATTTATCATATTGTACAGCACATTGTTTTCACAGAGCCTCATTGTCAGATTGTCATTTTGTCACAATGCTACATTGTCAAGGCGTTTGTCTTTTTTTCATGTCTCATTGTAAAATATCACATTCATATTGTAACACTGTCATGATACAACGATGTCATATTGTCACACTCATAATGTAACAATGTCATATAATCACTGTCATAATGTAACTATGTCATATTGTCACTCATAATGTAACAATGTCATATTGTCACAGTCATAATGTAACAATGTCATATTGTCACAGTCACAATGTAACAATGTCATATTGTCTCAGTCACAATGTAACAATGTCATATTTTCACAGTCACAATGTAACAATCGCTGTGCAGAGTTGCGTCCCTTGGGCACGCCAGAAACCTATGATTGTGGGTTCGAATCCCGGTTCGCCCCAATTATGTTTCTATTTTGTCAGCACCATACCGTGCTCGTTGGTTTCACCGAAGTGGTAAACGTCTGAGACCTGCATCACTTCGGGCTTTCCTCCCACATCAAGCTGACACGCCGTGATATAACTGGAATACTGTTAAAAGCGGCGTTAAACCCAACTCACTCACTCACAATGTAAAAATGTCATATTGTCACAGTCTCAATGTAACAATGCCATATTGTCACAGTCTCAATGTAACAATGTCATATAGTAACAGTCATAATGTAACAATGTCATATTGCCACAGTCTCAATGTAACAATGTCATATAGTAACAGTCATAATGTAACAATGTCATATTATCACAGTCATGATAAAAATTGTCAAACTGTCACGTAATGACGCAACATTGTACCAATGCCACTCGGACATAATGTAACCTAGTCCTAATCTCACACAGCTATAATGTAACATTGTACATGTAATGGCGTTACATTGTCCGAGTGCTGCTCACCGTGGTGCCGCTGTAGGAAGCCGAACACACGGAGCTGTTCCTCGCTGGTGTCGATCTCCACCATGAACGACTGCATCGTCTTGCATATCATCTGCAACATCATCGTCAGAAAGCATCACGTGAAACCCTCAGTCGACGCGGCGCTTTGCTCTTTACGTGTATTTGTTTCCTTGTTGTTTAACACAGCAATCTGCAATATTCCAGCTATATGACGGCGACCGTAAGTAAGACCCGTAAAGGTCCGGGGTAGAATAGGTCTTCAGCAACCCATGCTTGCCGTAAGAGGCGACTAACGGGATCTAGTGGTCAGGCTCGCTGACTTGGTTGTTGCATGTTATCGTTTTCCATATGCGTGGATCATGACGTCAATCACTGGATTGTGTGGTCCAGACTCGATTATTTTTCAGACCGCCGTCATCGAGCTGAAATATTGCTGAGTGATGCGTTAAACAACAAACAAAATGAAACAAAGCTACCCGAACTGGATGCCCGTCTAAGCTATCGATGGTTGGGGACAGTAAACTGTAATTGGTTGGGTTACTGTAATTGGATGCTCATGATATCAGTCACTGGATTTTCAGGTCCAGGCTCGATTATTTTCGGATAGCCATCATGTAGCTGGATTGATGCTAAGCGTGGCATGAAACAACCAACAAGCAAACCTTACGAAACTATTGACATTCTCAACCTTATGATCACGTTTTGCACACATCTTATTTCCAATTACAGGATAAGTAAAAATAACGAATTGAAACTTCCAAGACAACTCACACACTCAACCACTCACTCGGTCAACTCACCCATCCGTCTGCCCAGGACATGTTGACCGGCACCACCTTGTAACACGACTCCCCCTCCCTCGTGAAGTCTTCAGGGCACAGAGAAGATGCTGTGGGGGAACCAGTGTTAGTGAGTGTTACGGACACTTTGAGCAGTTAAACAGCAGGAACTGTACTTTCGACTCGGCCAAGTATGATTGGTAAATACTCTCAATGGAAATCTTTGATTAAAACCCACATATCCTGGTACAACTAAGGGACGCAACTCTGCAATGCAGAAATCTCTCAAAACCAACAATACAAACTATACACAAGACGCACGACGCATGCTCTTTAACATGAATACCCCACTTAGACACAGTATACTGACTGGCCAGTCCTTGTTTTATCCCCTTAATGCCGAATTGGCTCTAGGGTAACAACAAGTTACATCTTTTAGCTTTTTCTCGTTTGACGCGGCCTGGTATCGAACCCCCAACCTTCTACTCTTCTACAGACGCTCAAGATTTTTAAATGCATGAGGTGGAAAGCTCGACGGGGACCAAGCACGAGGAGGGAAGTTTGCGTACCTTTTAAACATAAGCACTGACAATTATTTGACAATAAATTAAACACAAATTTATAAATTGCCGTATAGATGTTACAAGACCTATCTAATTTGCTTGGGGCCAACTCAATCCCGGCATCCCTGCAGGTCGATCACATGTCAACATGCCAAATTGATGGAGGGTGAGGTCTGATCTGACGCAGGTTTGTTTGTTTGTTATTTAACTCCGCACACAACAATATTCCGGCGGACCAGACAATCCAGTGATTGGTATCAGGACCATAAATCGACGCAATTAGGATACGATGACATGCCTCAAAGAAGTCCGCGAGTCTGACCACCCGATCCCGTTAGTCGCCTCTACCGACAAGCATGGGTTGGTGAACCCTATTCTCTACCTGGATCTTCACGGGTAACGTGAAGCAGGAAGATCAACATGTATGAATCAAGGTTATCGGGGGTTCGAACCCACGACCAACAGATCCTGGATCCTGTCTTGTTTAATCCACATTAATCTGCAGAACGATTTTCATCATTTTACAAATACGGCTTCTTGCCAAAAAATATTTTTCAGGAAAGCTCTTTCAATATTCCGGCAGCGTATTGGAAAATACACGTTAAGGCAGGAATTTGACCCCATTTATCTCTAAACAAGGTCATGGTGTCAGTTCTGTTGGAAATAAATTTAAAATGTCAACCATATATTATATTTGTTTAAAGTTTATAGGGTAAGAAATCCTTCACTTGACAAAAGTGTTTATTATGACATATTGTGCAGCCCTGAGTGATATATATAAATGTTATATAATAAATATATATATACGAGGCTGGTATATTATTGCCTGTCTTTGTTGTCGTTTAACTTTTGAGTTATTAGTTTGCAACGCTATAGACTGTCGATCGTGGTGAGGTATACCTGGCCTACAAACAACCAACGCCATAATGTCCCTTTTGTTATAGGTAATCCATATCACTACATGCGCGATCGAAAGATGAATGTCATATTGTGTTGTGTTTTTTGCAATATATACTACTGAAAAGAAGTTGAAGAACAACCGATTCTTTCAAATTAATATAGTTAATCTATCATGACATGACATATTAACTATAGTTACATAAAATAATCGACGTCTTTAACTGTTTTTTAGAATACATTTCCTTTAGAGATATTGTGTATAGTATCCTGTATCTTGGGGCAGTGTATACATTTCAAGAAGACAAATGCGATACCGATGAGGTTCCTTCGCAAAGTAGTCGACAGTGACAGATTAGCGAAAAGGGCAGACATGATAGACGAGAGAAAGAAGAGGGGATAAAGTTGAATTTTCTTAAGTGAAATTTGTAAGTAGTAATTTGTCTTGGTGAAATGTCGGAACGAAATGTGATATGGATGAGGAGAGAAAGAAAATGGATCAGAGAGAAAGAAAAAATGACATTGACGGATGAGCGAAAAGGGCATGGCTGATCAAAAGGGTTTCCTTGTTTGTTGTTTTACGCCGCACCCAGCAATATTCCAGCTGTATGAAGGCGTTCTGTAAATAATCGAATCTGGACCAGACAATCCAGAGATTGATATCTACGCAAGTGGGATACCATAGTATGCATCAACCAAAAAGGCGACTATGCTTGTCGTAAGAAGCGACTAACGGGATCGGGCGGTCAGGCTCGCTGACTTGGTTGATGCATGCCATCATATCCCAATTGCGTGGATCGCTGTTCATGATGTCAATCACTGGATTGTCAGGTCCAGACTCGATTTTTTACAGACCGCCGTCATTCAGCTGGAATATTGCTGAGTGCGGCGTTTAACAACAAATAAACAAACAAACAACCAAATCAGCGAGTCTGACTACTCGATCCCGTTAGTCGCCTCCTACGACAAGCAACTCGGATCTTCATGGGACGATTTGCGAGGTCAAACAAGAGAAGTGTCGAAAAACGGCGAAAGATAGAGCCAGAGAGGCAACGAGCGAGAGAACAAGACAAAGCGAGTCATAGAAAAGCAACAAGTACATGTTTGTTTGTTTGTTTTGTTATGGGGACTTAAAGTATTTTAGGTTATTGATCAATACTGACACGGTCACAGATCTAGTTGATTTTTGCCTTGAAGCGGATCAATGATTTACGCTGTGTCACTAGTGTTGATTTTTGCCATGATATAATGCACATGAACTGTGACCGAAAGCGGAATTCAATAATTTATTCAAAAACAGTAACGGACTTAAATAAAACGAAACTATAGCCATTTTCTAATTTGAAAAGCTACCAATATTTCACAGTATTATACAAAGCGATAATGCACATGGTCTGATGAACGCCACTTTCAACAACAATCCAGCCATATTACGGCGGGAATATCAGTCTTCAGCTTCACGTAGTCTACCCATGTTATGAATCTAACCGGTTTTCGGCGTGACGAGTGACACTTTTACAATTAACCTGCCCAAGTGACTTCGAAATGTCACCATCACTTTTATGAGATAATATATTTTCATTCGGATGCTCACCTGAAACCAATAGCAGCCCCAAACCGACCAGGGACAATGGAGACATCGTACTTGCAGAGGGCCACACAAGTCACGTTTAGTCAGCGTGTGTTAGTTGAAAGCGCCAAGATTGACTTCTTGACTGCTCAATACAAAGGCGCTGCTTTATCGGTGACAGCAAGTTAAAATTGATAGTAGTTTTTGAAGTGGTTCGTGTTGGTAGAGTGTTAATCACAAATAACTTACATCTGGTTGTCGGATAGCCTGGTCGTTAAAGCGTTGACCCATCGGTTCGATTTCAAACTTGGGTAGAATGTTGGAAGATCATTTCTGTAGTACCCAGTGAAGATTGGTTAGAACTGGGCCCACTTGCACAAAGCGATCTCAGCGCTAAGATGATCGTAACTCCCATACTTTAACATAGGCTTACAATAGTCTTAGCGCTAAGATCGCTTTGTGCAAGTGGGCCCTGGTCTTGAGCATCCAACGCTTGTCGTAAGGGGCGACTAACGAGATACATGTCATCGTATCCCATTTGCGTGGGACCCGTGAAGATCCGGGTAGAATAGGTCTTCAGCAACCCATGCTTGCCGAAAAAGGCGACTAACGGGGTCGGGTGGTCAGGCTCCCTGATATGGTTGATGCATGTCATCGGTCCCAGTTGCGTGGATCGATACTTATGATGTCAATCACTGGATTGTCTGGTCCATTACAGACCGCCATCATACAGCTGGAATATTGCTGAGTGCGGCGTTAACAAAAATCAAACATTTCCGTACATCGTTTTCAATGATGCCAATCACTAGACGGTCAGAAGGACGTCATATAGCTGGAATTTATGGTTGTCGCCTTAGGCAAGAGACTTTGTTGGAAATATGCCTCGGTTCACCCAACAGTGAATGGGTACCCGATAGGAGTAGATGGAACTGTTAACCTTCTAGGCAGCGTGGGTTGTATACTCCAGAGGAAGCTGAGAATGAATATCGAGCGCACACTAATCCATAGACCGGGGTGATGATGTAGCGCATTGAGCATGCTTTAAACTGTGGATTTGGCGCATTATAGATGGGCACATTATTAAGGTGGAAGTTATTTAGTCCCAGGACTGTAGTTGTGATATTATGTGATATTGAGGCCAGGTGTCCAGACAAGGTACAGACACGTCTACAACAATCACAATGATCGGACGTCTCTTCTGTCTGTCTCTCACAGTCCTTGGACTCAGTGCTATAGGTACGTAAATGTCGGCCCCGTGAAGATCCGGGCGAGAATAGGTCTTCAGCAACACATGCTTGCCGTAACAGGCGACTGTGCTTCTTGTAAGAGGCGACTAACGGGATCGGATGGTCAGGCTCGCTGACTTTGTTGATACATGTCATCGTATCCCAATTGCGTGGATCGATGCTCATGATGTCAGTTACTGGATTGTCAGGTCCAGACTCGAGTATTTACAGACCGCCTCATATAGCTGGAATATTGCTAAGTGCAGCGTTAAACAAATCAAACAAAGTTTTTAACGAAAAAATCGAATATATGGATTTATCATATAATGGGTAGGTTTCTCGGCAGGATAAAGCCAACGGATAAAAACGATATCCGTTGGGGTCATATGCGGATAGAGATGCAAATATGAAAGGTCAAGTAGGACTACTGTCAGTGTTTATAAACAAACATGGCGTCGCCCTTGTCATTCGGCGATCGAGTCAGAATTAATCATCGGGAATCTGGATAATTGCTATCATTATCAAAAGAACAGTCTAATATATTGAAAATCAGTGTCTAACTGTGACGTAGCTAAGGCATTTTATAAGTTTTGGCAACTTTGGAGATATAAATTTCGAAACAATTTTGCGAGGTCACTAGGCTTAGCCAAGCGGGAGACATATCTGTGCTTGTAGACCTCTGTCTCTTGGAACCTTTCCACAAATTAAAATAGTTGGATTTTGCCGAAATATGTTTGAATTGTTACCTTGTTTCGTTTTGTCGCTGTGTGTACATATGACTGCACTTCCTAACGTTATGACGGAATAGGCCAACTGTCAACAACGTCTGAACGTGGCCGTGACGTCTCATAGACTGGGGTTTGAGTAGCTTCCCTTTGACAAAAGGCAGTTCCTCTAGCGGACAGACCAATGGATTGCCGCGAAAGGCAAGTAAAAACAATTGTTGTTTTGCGTATATGTTGCTTCGCCACTGTATAAGAAACAGATTTCAATTGGGACTATATTGGCTACTGTCACTGTCTGAATGACACATCACTTACCCTGTGACGTAATAAATATTAATGCGCGCATTCCAGGAAAACTCGCAATGTTTCGGTAGTGTTTGTGTGAGAGGGAAAGCGATTTTGAAGCACAGAATTAAAGAATGACATTATATGATAAAGATGTTATCACGCGTGTGTGATTGGGGATGGCAAATATCCTATATTAGGAATAAACACTATTTATTTAGCTCACCAAGGCTCGCTAAATACAATGTTTATTCCTCATGCAGGATATTAACAATCCCCAAACACACTCGCGTGATAACCTCTATGTATCGAATACATTGTGAATTCCCCTTGAACATTTTTTATTCCGAATATTACTGGTATCAACCATATGAAACGGGAGAAAGGAACTATCTACTGTTAAATTTTTTAAAGAAACGACGTCATATTTACAGCCGATTAACACTGTATGAGATTGTGAAACACCGCGAGGTGCACGTGGTTAAAATAGTACGCAATGTACAGTGACAAGGAAGGAAAGGACTGGAAGTATTAATTAGTAGGTTGCAGAAAAAGTGGGTTGTACATTTAATGTATCTATTACGTTGAAATGTGCACACTGCTAGCCATTGTGTTGTACGTCTGGCACGGCGATGGGGCATGGGTAGCCCAGTCCCCTAAGGCGCCGCAATTCGCTGTGGAGAGTTGCGTCCCTTGGACACCCAAAACCTATGATTGTAGGTTCGAAACCCGGTTCGCCTCGATTATGTTTCTAGGTTTGTCAGCACCATACCCGTGCTCGTAGGTTTCACCAATGTGGTAAACGTCTAAGACATGTATCACTTCGGGCTTTCCTCCCACATTAAGCTGACATGCCGTGATATAACTGGATTACTGCTCAAAGCGGCGTTAAACCCAACTCACTCACTCATTCACTGGTGGTACATTGTCTGCTACAATACTATATGCAAAGGTACGTGGTGATGAGCGGGTGTCTACTTGTTCCAGAATATAATTGAAAAAACTTAATTGTGCCCCAGATTTAGCAAAATGAAATGTTCATCGGACATGCTGGATTTTCCAGAAATAGAACTGTGGTGAAAGATTCCGTGTGTCTTGAAGCATTGACAGAAAACACATGAAGTCGCCAAAATGTACCATGTTCATACTGTTATTTATCATCCAAAACTGGCTCCCACAGGAGATATCGCTTTGGTGAGATATAGATGTTATCACGCGAGTGTGTTTGGGGATGGCAAATATCCTGCATTAGGAATAAACATTGTATTTAGCGAGCCTTGGCGAGCTAAATACATAGTGTTTATTCCTAATACAGGATATTTACCATCCCCAAACACACAAGCGTGATAACCTCTTTATCATATAATGTCATTCTTTAATTCTGTGCTTTAAAATCGCCTCCCTCTCTCACAAACATTACCGAAACATTGTGAGTTTTCCTGGAATGCGCGCATTAATATTTATTACGTCACAGGGTAAGTGATGTGTCAGTCGGACAGTGACAGTAGCCAATATAGTTCCAGCTGAAATCTGTTTCTTATACAGTGGCGAAGCAGCATATACGCAAAACAACAGTTGTTTTTAATTACCTTTCGCGGCAATCCATCGGTCTGTCCGCTAGAGTAACTGTCCTTTGTCAAAGGGGAAGCTACTCTTACCCTAGTCTATGAGACGTCACGGCCACGGTCAGACGTTGTTGACAGGCGTTCTGTCCTGTCATAACGTTAAGAAGTGTAGTCAGATGTACACACAGCGACAAAACGAAACAAGGTAACAATTCAAACATTTCGGCAAAATCCAACTATTTTAATTTGTGGAGGTCTACAAGCACAGATATGGCTACTGATCCCGCTTGGCTAGGCCTCGTGCCTTCGCAAAATTGTTTCGAAATTTATATCTCCAAGGTTGCCAAAACTTATAAAATGCCTTAGCTACGTCACAGTTGGACACTGATTTTCAGTATATTAGACTGTTCTTTTGTTACTGATGGCAATTATCCCTGTAGTTTATCCAGATTCCCGATGGTTAATTCTGACTCGATCGCCGAATGACGAGGGCGACGCCATGTTTGTTTTTAAACACTGAAAGTAGTCCTACTTGACCTTTCATATTTGCATCTCTATCCGCATATGACCCCAACGGATATCGTTTTTATCCGTTGGCTTTATCCTGCCGAGAAACCTACCCATTATAAACAAGCGATATCTATACTGTAGATATCGCATCACAATGCTTTGCAGACCATTGTGACGTCATTGGTTACCATGACGTCACAATCAAATGACATCACTAATGGCTCTGCTACTGAAGCTGTTAGCAGTACTTTTTACACTTAAGTCACTGCTTATTACTTTCTACAAACTGAAAAAAGTTGGAAGAATGATGTTGGATGATAACTAAATAATATATCAACACTCGTTGATAACAGTGGAAAAAAACCTCGGCAAGCCTCGGAGTTTCCCCACTTTTATCAACTCGTGTTGATATGTCTGATGTCAAAAGACACTAGGGTGAGATTCTCTATGTAACTTCAGATGCATGTAGTGATGGCTTTGTTGAGTCTGGCAACGCCTGCTTCCACGTGGAGGTCATGAACGTCAACTGGGCGGAAGCAAAGGTGAGAAGAGCTGTTGTAGCGCTCCAGATGAACCTCGTTAATACGGACAAGTGTTTACGAACTATTCAAGTAATATTACACTGGGACACAAATGTAAACTAAATGGAATCGAACCTTGTGAGTAGTGTGATGAGTGGAACACTTTAACCACTACGCTACGCCAACGCACCTCAAGTTTAAGAAACGGCAGTATTGTCATTACGACATGCCGTAAATGGCACTATGGTTGCGTATGCGGCTTAAAACAATATTATCTCTCCTTTGCCGTCATAGTTCGCGAATCGCTGAATCTTCTAAGCTGCGGCGTGCCAGAAACTAGTGATAGTGTGTTCGAATCCCAGATACGTTTGATTAGGTTTCATATATTTGAACTACTCACTCATTCACTCACTCATAATTTCCCGATTTACGCTGACGTTGGGTATACTATGTTAGGAAAATTATTAAGAAACCGGAAGGCGGTCTGCTCGGAGTCGGTATACTGTGTCTGAGTGTGGTATTCAAGTTTTAAAAAAGCGACATGGTATCTCAGTGGGCCAGCAATATAAAACAGGAATGAGGTGTCAGTACAAGTAAGATAAGTGCAAGCAGCAACGTTTGCAGCTGATGATCTGCGCAGACCAGCGAAATGTTTTTCATGTTCTCTATGCCAGAATGGTGAGATCTGATTGGTTCACGTGATCTTGATGACAAACTATGTATCCCGCCCTGGAGAGTAAATCCCTTATACCCCGCCACGGACATGACAGGCTGCACGTGGATTTCTGAGAGGCAGAATAAATCCCTTATACCCCGCTTGAAACAAAAAGCCGAACGTGACACAACACAAGTTATCCTCCGCTGAATTGAACCGCTGTTTTCTGTCAAAATTGAATTTGTTTTCATTCTTTGCCAATGGCATATTACAAAATGCCAGTGATAGAAACTCGTTGTAGCAGGATCACTCGGGGTACATGTGGTTTTATGCGTCCCTCGGCGAGTGGTACAAAATCTAACAAGGGACGCATAAAACCACATGTACCTCGAGTGATCCTGCAACAACTTGTAATAGATTACTTTCTCATCCTGTAATGTGTAATGTTAATGACGAGTGACCCTGCAACAACTTGTAATAGATTACTTTCTCATCCTGTAATGTGTAATGTAAATGACGAGTGACCCTGCAACAACTTGTAATAGATTACTTTCTCATCCTGTTATGTGTAATGTAAATGACGAGTGGCAATTGGTGTTACAGATTTATTGCGAAGCAATGAAAGCCAAACTTGCAACAATAGATTCAGCCAGCAAGGCACAGAGCGTCCAGCAATATATGGATACAGTTAAAGGTAAGATGCCTTGGCTATTTGGCTTTTGGTTTTCAGTATCAGTTCCCGGAACATTTTTTCTTACACACCTGTAGGTGAGAAACCCATTTGAGATAACTGGTATCAAACATATATGTGAGATCGAATTCCGAACTACTTTCTTGATATAGTATATGGTACGATGGTATGTATGGTATGTTATGATATGATAATGGTATATGAAATAATACTAGATAGTATGATCTTATAATAATGATACAATATGATATGATGTTATAGAATATGTTGTATGATATAACAAGTTGTGATATGGTAAAATAGAAATTATGAAATTACAGGGTATGGTATTGTACTGTATGTGTGAAATTATGTGACTGCGTTGAGATGCGAGGTGGAATGACGTGAGGTGATTTGGTGAGGTATGTACATAAATTGTATAAAATTGTATATTCTTCAAATTGTACTATAGGCCTGTGGCCTCTTCAGTATGTGAAATAAAGATTGGATAGTAAGTCATTGACAAGTTGCTCGTGCTTCAGTCGAATGTTCACCGACGTCTGTGTTGAACGTTATGTTTTTTTAGAGTGTAAACACCCTGGATGCCACAGCAATATACATGTAGATGTCCCTCCTCTTCAACCCTCACTTCGACGTCGAATAAAATTCAAAATACATCACGCACACTTATACACTTCACAGTTTTGAATTCTGTGGAATTCCCTCTTCTGTGATATCATTTACTGTCATTTTTGGCAAAGCAGAATTACTGAAAGTGACCTCTGATAATTAGGTACATCACAAATCTCGCCATTTTTCACACATTATTAAATCACCATTCACCGTTATTTACCTGTGTCATTAGAAATCTAAATATCGGATTTTTACTCGAAGAATTGGTTTTCAAAAATAGTATAGATCTATAAGTGATCACGGGTATCTGTTTTTCGTCAAATCACTAATGACAATTCTGAAACGTCGCTGATAAGCCAAGAATCGTGTATAATGTTTTGGAAAATACGAACGTTCCGCCAAATTGGATAGTGTTAACAAAATGACTTTTCGCGTATGCCGGTTACAAGACACCTATCAGGCTAGATCACTTCTATTTCAAACTCGATACATGCATCCCTGAATTCTTCAAACATTTTAGAATGAAATGGCAAAACACGTAATTGTCTACGATGTGAATGTTCACGATGTGAATGTTCACATTGTGAATGTCCACGTTGTGAATGTCCACGTTGTGAATGTTCACGTTATGAATGTTCCCGTTGTGAATGTCCACGATGTGAATGTCTATGATGTGAATGTAAACGTTGTGAATGTCTACATTGCAAATGTCCACGTTGTGATCGTTCACGCCGTGAATGTCTAGGTTTGAATGTCCACATTGCAAATGTCCACGCTGTGAATGTCCACGTTTTGAATGTCTATATTATGAATGTCCACGTTGTGAATGTCCACATTGTTAATGTCCACATTGCGAATGACCACGTTGTGAATGTCCACATAGTGAATGTCCACGTTGTGAATGTGCACATTGTGAATGTTAACGTTGTGATTGTCCACATAGTGAATGTTCACGTTGTGAATGTCCTCATAGTGAATGTCCACATTGTGAATATCAACGTTGTGAATGTCCACATTGTGAATATCAACGTTGTGAATGTCCACGTTGTGAATGTACACGCTGTGAATGTCTATATTGTGAATGTCCACGTTGTGAATGTCCACATTGCAAATGTCCACGTTATGAATGTCCACGTTGTGTATGTCTACATTGTGAATGTCCACGTTGTGAATGTCTATATTATGAATGTCCACGTTGTGAACGTCCACACTGTGAATGTCCACGTTGTGAATGTCTACATTGTGAATGTCCTCATTGTGAATGTCTATATTATGAATGTCCACATTGTCAATGTCTATATTGTGAATGTCCACATTGTGAATGTCTATAATATAATTATTATTATGAATTTCCACATTGTAAATGTCCACGTTGTGAATGTCTATATTGTGAATGTCCACATTGTGAATGTCTATATTATGAATGTCCACATTGTGAATGTCCACGTTGTGAATGTCTATATTATGAATGTCCACATTGCAAATGTCCACGTTATGAATGTCCACGTTGTTTATGTCTACATTGTGAATGTCCACGTTGTGAATGTCCACATTGTGAATGTCTATATTATGAATGTCCACGTTGTGAATGTCTATATTATGAATGTCCACATAGTGAATGTCTATATTATGAATGTCCACGTTGTGAATGTCTACATTGTGAATGTCCACGTTGTGAATGTCTATATTATGAATGTCCACGTTGTGAACGTCCACACTGTGAATGTCCTCGTTGTGAATGTCTATATTATGAATGTCCACGTTGTGAACGTCCACACTGTGAATATCCACGTTGTGAATGTCTACATTGTGAATGTCTATATTATGAATGTCCACGTTGTGAATGTCTATATTATGAATGTCCACGTTGTGAATGTCTATATTATGAATGTCCACATAGTGAATGTCTATATTATGAATGTCCACATTGTGAATGTCCACGTTGTGAATGTCCACGTTGTGTATGTCTACATTGTGAATGTCCTCGTTGTGAATGTCTATATTATGAATGTCCACGTAGTGAATGTCTATAATATGAATGTCTACGTTGTGAATGTCCACGTTGTGAATGTCTATATTATGAATGTCCACGTTGTGAATGTCTATATTGTGAATGTCCACGTTGTGAATGTCCACATTGCAAATGTCCACGTTATGAATGTCCACGTTGTGTATGTCTACATTGTGAATGTCCTCGTTGTGAATGTCTATATTATGAATGTCCACGTTGTGAATGTCCACGTTGTGTATGTCTACATTGTGAATGTCCACGTTGTGAATGTCTATATTATGAATGTCCACATTGTGAACGTCCACACTGTGAATGTCCTCGTTGTGAATGTCTATATTATGAATGTCCACGTTATGAATGTCCACGTTGTGAATGTCCACATTGTGAATGTCTATATTATGAATGTCCACGTTGTGAATGTCCACGTTGTGAATGTCTATATTATGAATGTCCACATAGTGAATGTCTATATTATGAATTTCCACATTGTGAATGTCCACGTTGTGAATGTCCACGTTGTGTATGTCTACATTGTGAATGTCCTCATTGTGAATGTCTATATTATGAATGTCCACATAGTGAATGTCAACGTTGTGAACGTCCACACTGTGAATGTCCACGTTGTGAATGTTTACATTGTGAATGTCTATATTATGAATGTCCACATTGCAAATGTCCACGTTATGAATGTCTATATTATGAATGTCCACATAGTGAATGTCCACGTTGTGAATGTCTATATTATGAATGTCCACATTGCAAATGTCCACGTTATGAATGTCCACGTTGTGTATGTCTACATTGTGAATGTCCACATTGTGAATGTCTATATTATGAATGTCCACGTTGTGAATGTCAACGTTGTGAATGTCTATATTATGAATGTCCACATTGTGAATGTCCACGTTGTGAATGTCTATATTATGAATGTCCACATAGTGAATGTCCACGTTGTGAATGTCTATATTATGAATGTCCACATTATGAATGTCCACATTGTGAATGTCCACGTTGTGAATGTCTATTTTATGAATGTCCACATAGTGAATGTCCACGTTGTGAATGTCTATATTATGAATGTCCACATTATGAATGTCCACATTGTGAATGTCTACATTGTGAATGTCCACGTTGTGAATGTCTATATTATGAATGTCCACGTTGTGAACGTCCACACTGTGAATGTCCACGTTGTGAATGTCTATATTATGAATGTCCACATAGTGAATGTCCACGTTGTGAATGTCTATATAATGAATGTCCACATTGTGAATGTCCACGTTGTGAATGTCTATATTATGAATGTCCACGTTGTCAATGTCCACTTTGTGACTGTCCACGTTGTGACTATCCACATTGTGAATGTCCACAAAGTGAATGTCCACATTGTGAATGTCCACGTGTCTACGCAGGGGCATCAGAGCTGACCTGGATTGACGGCTCGGACCTGTACACCGAGGGAGAGTGGTTCTGGATGGACAGTCAGAAGATCTTCACCTACACCAACTGGATCCCCGGACAGCCGGACAACGGCGGGGGGACTGAACACTGCGCCCATCTCAACAAGAGATACGGCTACAAGTGGAACGATCACGACTGCACCGTCAAACTCAACTTCCTCTGTGAAAGACCGTAAGTTTATGACAGAATTGGAGAGATTGAGTGATTACTAACAGACCTTTACTCTGACAGGATAACCTTCTGTGTAAGATCTTATGACACCTTCATTCTAGGTCGCGTCGGGTCAACTTTCTGATCCGACAATCAGCGTCAAGGCTTCTAAATTTTCGGAACATTCAGACAAGCATGTGTCATTTCTGCAACTCGAAAACGAACTTAATTGGGGAGTTCCGAATGCGAAAAAATAAATCCGTGCTATTATATTGTTGATATTTTTCATAAATCCTGTCTTTTATGAGCGCCGTGGCATCGGCATCCAAACTGTTTTCCACCTAGCATATATTTGTGCAGAGATTGAAATTTCCAATTCGAGACATTTAGGAAATTGTACCAAATGGTTTTATAAAGCTGACATCTGAATGGTTCAAGAACCCACGCATCCTTCGTTTTTATGGAGGGTCAGAATCTGCGCGGGGTTCAGGTGTCCTCACATCTTGATGTGATTTTATAGTTTTAGAAACAAAGATGGGATTTTGATAAGACTGGGTTCGACGCCTCTTTTAGCCGTATTTAAGGTCTATCAGCTCGGGTAAGCTTAATGTTGGAGGACAGACTGACGCCAAGGGGTCGTTGATTCTTACAATTTGGGATTGAAATACGCCTGCTCAGGTATGGTGCTGACAGTAATTACAGGGGAGATTCGTGGTCCAGTGGTAGAGTGTCCGCCGGGAGAGAGGAAGGTCCTGGGTTGGATACCAAGCCGCGTAATGCAAAAAGACGTTAAAAGATGGTATTTGTTGTTACCCTGTCTGGCTCTCGACAGTAAGGGGCTGAAACAAGGATTGGTCTGCTCGGCGTCAATATACCGGATGAACAATATTCCTCATTTTGATCATGTAGTACTTGGGACTTATTCTACTCAGGAATTTCTACGGGGACATTATGTATGACCTGCGAGTGTATATATATTAATATTAATACATAAACCATCGCGATTATGATTACGTGAAAACGATATATTAATGAAAACAAATTATAATCAGAATCCGGGAGTGCAAATATGTTTCCAAATATCATTTTTCAGATTTCAAATTTTGAAAGCACGAATCCCACAGTGGTATGATTAATATTTGTGACAAGAAGACAAATAAATGACAGGGAACCATTTTGTGACTTAATATATCATGAGTCCGACGTACGTAATCCGACGTTAGACATAGTTCTGCCGTAATTGGTCCTATATTTTAAGCTGAATGGCATACGATAATGACTTTTCGTCAATGATTTATGGAGTTTGTATACAAGTCCAAAGATTTGACAGAGGGTTGATTATCTCAAAAGAGACATTTAATATATAATAAATATAAATTACGACTGTGGTTTTATATGGACCAGTGGCACGTTCATGTAAGTTCATGAAAAAATTGTGATAATTTCATTTTATACTCTTACATTTTTACGTGTTGCCCTCTTTAACATATTATCGTATATTAAGTAGGTATGACTGACACGTGCACTGTGTTGCGAAAGGGATAGGGCAGGGGAGAGGGACGGTGGGGAGAAACGTCGCGCAGGGCGTAAATTTGTACCAGTTTGTTCAAACATACCTGGTACGGTGCTGTCAGACCAACAATCATTACTGGGGAGATTCCAGGACTCAGCAGATCCTGGTACAGGTAAGGAACGCAACAGAGTAAAGATTTTTTTTCCCAGCGACCACTTTATCTACATGTGAATGATAAAATAGAATGTCATTAATCACTAAAATAACAGTATACATAGTGGTTCACGGCATGATCAATTATACTGTAACATCATTTTTTAATTTTTCCCTCTTTTTTTTTGTCTCAGGACATTTTGTTTCAAAACTGACCAGATTGGAGGGAGAACTTTTCTCACTTATTATTTAGTAGGTGACAACTCTATAAACGTGAAAGTAGTTGTACTGTACCACGTGACCTCATTTGGCCACGCCCCCTTGCGGCACGAAGTATAGACGGGCGATGACGGCGCGGTTTTCCGAAAATCTGACATAATCTGAATGGCTTGGTTTATGGTAAAAGTTGAAACCTGGTGCAAAACTGAAAATTGAAAAAGAACTCGTTTCTTAAGGTGAGAGCCTAAAAATAAAATAAAATATGAGCGGGTCGTAAGAGTGTATGAAATTAACTTTAACAAGCCCAAATGGTATAAAAAGGCAGGTCTAAATTTTTATACGTGTGACAAAAAAGGATGACAGGAACAAAAACAAACTGGGATTCGAACCCACCCTACCCGGATCCTGACACCTTCGACGAACTTCATCCTTGCGCATTCCTCAATAGATTAGACCCGTGAAGATCCGGGGTAGAACAGGTCTTCAGCAACCCATGCTTGCCGTAGAAGCGACTATGCTTGGCGTAAGAGGCGACTAACGGGATCGGATGGTCAGGCTCGCGGACTTGGTTGAAGCATGTAATCGATCCCAATTACGTGGGGATGCAAAAGATAAAAACAGACACCGGGGAATAGGGTCTTTGGAGAGGCTCAATTCCCCACACTAACACTCTCTGTCAAGACCAAGGAGGAGGTGAGGTGAGGTGAAATGGGGTTCAACGTCGCGTCCAAGATTATTGCACTTATATAGCGACGTGCATGCACGTGTGTGTGTGTGTGTGTGTGTGTGTGTGTGGCTATTTGTACTAGTCCGGACCGATGCCGCTTTATAGTGCTACCTCACTGAGATGCCATGCCGCAGTTTAACATGAATACCCCACTCAGACACAGTATACTGACTCCGAGCCGACCAGTCCTTGTCTTAGCCCCTTAATGCCGAGCGCCAGACAGGGTAACAACAATTACCATCTTTTAACGTCTTTTGGTATGACGCGGTCGGGGATCGAATCCCGGACCTTCCGCTCTCCGGGCGGATGCTCTACCACTAGACCACAGAGGCGGTAAGACCAAGGAGGAGGTTATTATCCAACTTTTAAACCGAAAGTAAAATCTGAAAACATCATTATTTCAAACAAGTCTTCCATGAACCTTAAGAAACGGACGTAAAATATAACTTGTGGCGTACATGGTATTTTTCTTGTTTGTTTGTTGTGTGACGCCGCACTCAGAAATATTCCAGCTATATGACGACGGTCTGTAAATAATCTAGTCTGGACAAGACAGCCAGTGATTGATATAATACTGGCATCGATCCACGCAATTGGGATCGATGACATGCATCAATCAAGTCAGCGAGTCTGAACACCCGATCCCATTAGTCGCCTCTCCCGACAAGCATTGTCGACAAGCCTGGGTTGCTGAAGACCAATTCCAATCCGGATCTTCACGGGTTAGCGTACATGTACTAAAGGCATATTGTTTTGTCAGCGCCTCTGTAGCCAAGTGGTTCACACACCAGGCTACCAAGGTTGCAAGTTCGATCCACTGAAATACAAAGAAAACATTTGTCGTTTGATGTTACCCGTGAAGATCCGGGGTAGAATAGGTCTTCAGCAACCCATGCTTGCCGTAAAAGGCGACAAAGCTTGTCGTAAGAGGCGATTAACGAGATCTGGTGGTCAGGCTCGCTGACTTGGTTGATGACTGGGTGGACTATTGCTCATGCTGTCACTCACTAGTTTGCCTGCTCCAGCCTTGACCATTACAGCCAGTCATGATATAGGAATATAGTTGACTGCAGCGTTAAGAAGCACTGAATTTCAGTGTGATTCGTTAGTTATTTGTTAATACTGACCTTCACCGGCACTCGCGCGCGTCGCTATATGAGTACAGATCTGATCTAGCTGGAATGTTGCTGTGTGTAGTAAATACTGAATGCAAATTATGTAAATAAGCGATCGTACTGTATTTCTTTATTTTGTATTTTGCCGTTGCTATCTCACAAGAGGGCATGGGTGACCCAGTCGTCTGAGGCGCCGCAATTCGCTGTGCAGAGTTGCGTCCCTTTGACACGCCGAAACCTATGATTGTGGGTTCGAATCCCGTTTCGCCCAGCCCCTGATTATGTTTCTAAGTTTGTCAGCACCATACCCGTCCTCGTAGGTTACACGGAAGTGGTAAACGTCTAAGACCTGCATCACTTCGGGCTTTCGTTCCAAATTAAGCTGACACGCCGTGATATAACTGGAATACAGTTAAAAGCGGCGTTAAACCGAACTCACTCACTATCTGACAACCGTCAGTCACACGAGTGAGTGAGTTAGGTTTTACGCCGCTTTTAACAGTATTCCAGTTTTGGCACGGCGTGTCAGATCAGTGTATAAAGATAGCCCGAAGGGATGCAGGTCGCAGAGGATTATGAATATCACCGTGCAAGACTTTTGTCAGGGGACACAACTCTTGTCGCCTCAACATTCAACCATCACAATTGGGCGGAGTGAAACTAAAGCAGCCTCACTGTTGAAAATACCCCAAATACATCTGCGCGAACAGCGCGTCTTATAACAGTTTTCGTTCCTCGGGCAACAGGAGAATCCATTTACACCGAATAAGCGAGATCAGTGGGGTGTCATGCGCTGCACGTGGAGCACATGCTCTGCCTGTATTCGACACACGCACACCTTACACCCCTGCCTTGGTTATCGACTGTTCGGATTATTCATGTGTGTGTGTGTGTGTGTGTGTGTGTGTGTGTGTTGCTGCTTGTACTAGTCCGGACTGATGCCGATTTATAGTGCCAGCACACTGAGATACCATGCCACAGTTTAACATGAATACCCTACTCAGACACAGTATACTGACTCCGAGCCGACCAGTCCTTGATTTAGCCCCTTAAAGCCAAGCGCCAGACAGGGTAACAACAAGTACATTCTTTTAACGTCTTTTGGTATGACGCGGCCGGGGATCGAACCCCGGACCTTCCTTCTCTGGGAGGCTCTACCACTACACCACGGAGGCGGTCGCGAGCAGAAGGGGGTGTCAGTGGTGACAGCATGGTGATTATTCATCCGAAGGTGGCCTTGTTGTGTTGTGTTTGTTAGATTTTCGGGAGAATCCCCCACCACCTGATAGTTTCAGCGTTTGCTTTGCACGCCATAAAACCGAGCCAGTTTGTGAGATTCTCGAAATAACGTGACTAACACATGGCTTAAACATGACTAACAGCGGCGTAAAACCATGCTCACTCTCTTTCACTATCACTAGCCGTCCTCATAAACAAGGACTCGTAAGGCTGCCGGCACTTACCTCGATAGATAGTGACGCCGGGTTCGATTCTCACATTTCTGGTGTCCCTAGCTGTGATATTGCTGAAATATTGCTAAAAGTAGCGTAAAACTATACTCACTCACCTACTTTTAACAAGGACAAGACAATTCCTAAATAAATGCTAAAACAAAGTCTAGGTAAAATTATTTGTCACTTCCACAACATCTGACCAATACACTTGTGTTGAGATGTTATATTGATGTGTTGTTTGTACACAGACCCTTGAGCCCCGGGAACACTGATGAGCTCATTCTGGCATAGTTCAGTGAAAGTTGGGGTCAATGTGTCCACATTCTTGACCAGTGTCTTCCTGGCCCACACCACGCAGATCAGCATGACACAGCTAAAACACTCCCAACAACGACACATAACTCGCACCCAAGTCGCCACATTCACCTGCAAATACGCGCAATGTAATAGTGCATGTTTAACAAGTATAAACAACGCGCATGCGCGGCGTTCCCAAGACAATGTCAGCTATTTGAATAATCCTCGACAACCATTAACGGCTTAATTAACAGCTGCAAAACACAATGCTTTTCTGTATGACAACAACTCGTCATGGGTCATCGTAGTTCGTTCGCTTGGACAATAGGACAGTGGGACACTGGCTTATGTGAATGAATATTGTGTTATGCCGCTGTTAGTAGTACTCAATCCATTGAACGGCATGTGCCTTGAAGTCGGTTGGTTGGTTTGTTGTTTTACGCCGCACTCAGCAATATTCCAGCTATAAGACGGCGGTCTGTAAATCATCGAATCTGGACCAGACAATCCAGTGATTGATATCATAAGCATCAATCCATGCAATTGGGATCGATGACATTCTTCAACCAAGTCAACGCCTCCGTGGTCTAGTGTAAGGGCCGGCCGCGTCATACCAAAAGACGCTTAAAGGTGGTACTTGTTGTTACCCTGTCTGGCGCTCGGCATTAAGGGGCTAAAATAAGGACTGGACGGCTCGGAGTCAGTATACTGTGTCTGAGTTGGGTATTCATGTTAAACTGCAGCATGGTATCCCAGTGGGCTAGCACTATAAATCGGCATCAGTCCGGACTAGTAAAAGCAGCCACACACACACACGTACATGCACGTCGCTATATAAGTGCAATAATCTTGGACGCGACGTTAAACCCAATTTCACCTCACCTCAACCAAGTCAGCGAGCCTGACCACCCGATACCGTTAGTCGACTCTTACGACAAGCCTAGTCACCTTTTACGGCAAACATGAACTGCAGAAGACCTATTGTAACCCGGATATTCAGGGTCTGTGACATGAAGGTTGAGCTTCATACATTGTACCTACGTAGAGTTTCGTGAAACGGGAGTGTGGCAAGTCTGTTCAAGCTGGGATACAGTCTCTCGGAAAAGGAGGAATGCACTTGACATACGAAAGATGAATCCAAATATTTTACGAAATAATTTGCGTTTAGTAGTCGTATTATTTTTGTCGAAAACGTATCAACAAATGATTTAGTGATGTTTATATACGTTTACAATTGGTATGTAAAACGTTTACATATACGGAAACATAAGGCCATTTGTTTGTTGTCTTTTTTCTTCAAATTCCAAGATACTGAGTTGAAATTTTTTTTAAGTTGAAATTTCATGACGCTATGTTGAAATTTCAAGATACTAAGTTGAATTTTCAAGATGTGTACTAAGTTGAAATTTCGAGATAATGATCTTGAAATTTGAAGATTTTAACTTATGTATCTTGGAATTTCAACTTAGTATCTTCAAATTTGAAGTGAAAAATGCAAAAAACAAGTGACCCTAAAAGGCTTCCGTATAAATGTTTTGTATACTTAAAATTGCCACCAGCGACCTAAGATATATTTCTTCACTGGGAATCATGGAAATTAACACTACCCCAACTTCGTGTATGATACACTAGCAGGATATGTGTTGTTGTTGTTGTTTAACTCCGTACACAGCAGTATTCAAAGCCTGGAGCAGACAATCCAGTGATTGACATCATGAACATCGGGCGGAGGGAGGGGGTTGTCCATTATACGTCATCACCCTTGCTATCGGTGACGACCTTGAATTATTTAGCATGGGGTCGACACGAGCTTTAAACATTACACGGATTTCACTTCAATGTTCATGTACATGTCGTTTTCATTTAGTTGTTTCATTATAAGCTTTAAGGTAGTGTTCCGGACTGATTCGGGCGTTTGGGTAGCTCGGTGGTTAAAGGGTTCGCTCGTCATAGCGACGGCCCGGGTTCGAACCCCAACAAGGGTACAATGTGTGAAGCACTTACTGGTGTCACCCAGCGTTATATTGTTGGTATATTGTTCACAGCGGCATTAAACAATACTCACTCACACACTTGTTTTTTTAGGTTGTCCCTGACTCCTCATTAAAAGAAGATGCGTTTCGGACAGTGTGGACTCTTGGACTATGACCACAACATGCTGTTCATCCAGTCATTAAAATCTACCGCTAAACAAAGATCTTAGGACATCTTATTACGCGTCACGTCAGAACGACCTTTCATCCGACCAATCAGAGCGTCGTTTACCAGATCAAGAAAGTGACAGTCGGGTGAACACGGAGTATTCCAAACTACAGTTGCGGACTGTACGACTGATTCCGTGAAAACATAGCCCATCTCTACTTCTAAAGGATAAACATATGAACTGAAGAGACTTTGCACAGCCCGTGTGAAGTACTGCCATACAAGCTTGGGCATCTATTAGACACCCCAGAATGTTCTTTTATTGAGTTTCAAAACGAAAACTTTGTCAAGTATTTTTCTGAGCATAGTCTGGAATGAAAGCCGTTTATTTGAAACTTGTGCCGTATAGCTCGAGAAAGCTGCATTTTGATTGGCTGATGTCGTCTTCTTGTTAGTCTTTTCATTGGTTTAGTTGGTCAAAGTTCGTGAAGGTCGTTCTGACGTGACCTGTAATGGCATGTCCTAAGATCTTTGTTCAGCGGTAGTGAGAAGTAAGATATGATTTTAATGAGATTGCTGTTTATCACGATAGCTTGAATGTTAAAAACCTTTGAAATAAAACCATTCCCTTCAACTGCCATTTTTCGTTGATAATATTTCCTTGATATATTGCGCGAGAAATAATTGCGCACATCAATTGCACCCCACTGCTATGTCCGCTATCCTGACTGTATTTACAAACAGGAGGGTGAGTGAATGGTGTGTTACGCCGCTACCAGCAATAGCCTTAACCTACCACGGCGACCTTTACACTAATGACTGAAAGCATGAACAACTATAAACTTTGTTTCGTTTAGTTGGTTGTTGAACACCACAGTCAGTAATAATTCACCTGTATCACGGCAATCGAAATAGTCCAGTCTGGACCAGGTAAACAAGTGATTAATATCATGAATATCATGAACACTGCCCCATTCCGTCTGCATAAGCCAAAGCACAGAGCTTGACCATCCGATCCACCGGACATTTTCAGCTATTCAAACCCTCGATATTGTTTGGGGTTAGCTGGTTGGTTTGTTGTTTAACGCCGCACTCAGCAATATTCCGGCTATATGACGGCGGTCTGTAAATATTCGAGTCTGGACCAGACAATCCACTGATTAATATCATGAGCATCGATCCTCTCAATTTGGATACGATGACATGCATCAACCAAGTCAGCAAGCCTGACCACCAGATCTCGTTAGTCGCCTTTTACAGCAAGCATGGGTTGCTGAAGACCTCTTCTACCCCGGAATCGGGGGGGGGGGGGGGGGGGGGGGGGGTCGGGGTCATCTGCACTGCGAAGTCCCCCGCCCAACAAAACTAGGTCACCTTCACCCTTTGTCTAAAATATTCTGTGAACTGTTACCCCTGAGTTTTGGTCGCGCAATAGCCGTCCCTTGGCCTACATCGGGTATTATGCATCAGACTCTTTAACACAATCTGTCAAATGCATTCTGTACCGGGCAACGACCGTTGTCTACGCCCTTATCACAAACTATGCATACATGGACTTTGCTTTCAACCAGACATTTAAGGTCATTTTTTATTTGAAGGAAATACATTTCCATTGAAATGAATCATGGCGAACTCAATAATACTTTGACCTATTTTTGTATTTATTCGTGTTCGAGTAACCACGTGAAAGACATATTTTTTTGTTACATGTCTTATCCTAAATTCTTCAGCTGGGAGCACGGGTGGCCCAGTCATCTGAGGTGCCGAAATTCGCTGTGCAGAGTTGCGTCCCTTGGGCACGTCAGGAACCTATGATTCTATGGGTTCGAATCCCTGTTCGCCTCCATTTTTTCTAGGTTTGTCAGCACCATACTTGCGCTCGTGGGTTTCACCGAAATGGTAAACGTCTAAGACTTGCATCACTTCGGGCTTTCCTCCAACATTAAGCTGACACGCCGTGATAGAACTGGAATAATGTTAAAACCGGCATTAAACACAACTCACTCACTAATTCTTCAGCTGAACCAAATATTTTGCTTGTGTTCACTGTTTCATTGTCTCCAAAAGATATCAACGTCATCAAACCTTCTTTATCAGTTGAACCCATGACGACCACTAGCGGACCGGTTCATTTAAACTTAGGGTCAACAGGAAGCTGTTCTATTTTCGAATTACATAGTGTTCGCAAAATATAAGCACGTAAAAAAATACCTAAACTTTCAAATGTCGAGAAAATGCGTTATCGACGCATGTCAATGTGCCACTGACTTACAAGAAAAAGCGAAAGAAACTTAATAAACCTTCAATAAATTCTGTCCTAATAGTTGACGCGTCCATACTGATTAGCGTTGTTATAACATTAACACCTGTTGCACGGGCTGCGACTGGCATTTGTCGCCGCACGAGACAAATTGCACGGGCAAAACATGCGTTTCGGGACACAGAATTCAGGGAGAGTCGTCTGCTCAATTTACTCTTTGTCCAAACTGGAAATTTAATCAGTTGATTTTAATATCATGTAAAATATCACGGGAGTTTCGGGTCAATCTTTTCCCAATAAATTACAATAATAGGCAACATATTAAGGAAGATTCAAGTAAGAATATTCCTAAAAACATTTAAAAACAATATTTGGAAAATTTAGACAGCTACAAATCATTCAAAACATTCCTTTTTCAATAAACCCTTCCCAAGTACCATTCTGTCGGGTTGTTTCAGATGCTCAAACAATCCTCTCATAAACAAATCAATGTTTTAACACTGAAAAATATTCAGTGAATTGCTAAATATTCCGTTGACAAATTCAAGGCTTGAGAAAACTGTAAAAATCGATAAAGTGGCAGATCGATTGAAATCAAGGCCGCGTTGGGTTGACTGGCTTGAATCTGTCGCCGATTTAACGAAATGCGGCGAGGCAAAGTTGTTAGTTAGACAGAAACTTTTTATAAAGGACGGAAGGGGAAAAGGTGTGCCTTTTAAATACTTCAAATACAAAACAGTTTTTTTTCCAGGGAACTAAAACCCTAAAATCTCATAATTGTAGATATTCTTTAAAGATGTTTTCAAAGTAAGGGGTTAACATATTTAATTACACATAATATGTCAAATTCACCAACATAAAAAAATGAGAATATAAATCGTCTTTCATTTGAAAGCGGTCTCTTACAGATAAGAGTCCTATTATTTATTATAATATTAAGCGTCTATTTGTCAAGTGCGGGCACACATCCCGCCAGTAAGCTACATCTCTCCTAGTTAACATGCTACTCAAAACGAGGTACAGAACACCCGAGTCTTTCATATTCCTGTAGTTAAGCTGCCATGCCATGACAGGTAAACTGTAGTAAATAATATGAAAGAATCGGGTGTCCTTTACTTCTTTTGAGCAGTATATAACTGTGTCACGTAAAAATACATGCTTTCCACTAATCAGCAATCTCATTCAAATCAGATCGTTTACTCCGATTGCACTGATCTATGTGAGGGACAATGTACCTGTTACATTTGGAAACTTGACAGTATAACCCGCTTGACCCAAGGTTTTAGATGGGGTCCCCAACAACCTATGCTTGTATCAGGCGTCCTTATGACCCGGGTTATCAGACATGGTTCAATGCGTGTCACTCACTCACTCATGGACGTCCCCAGTCACGCCCGCGTGGACGCATGCACGTAATCACTCACTCGCGTACGCACCCACTATCAAGTCCACAACATCTACAAGTCAGTACTGAAACACCACGCGGTTTCCCTCTCGATAGTCTGAACCGACCATATTTAAACAACTGCCCTTTCTTGTTTCCGGGAAAGATCTTCCACTCAGTGTGTCTAGATGGGGACGTTTCGCCGTCCAAGCATTGCCTTCATATCGACGCATGTCACCTTGTGTTTGTTTTGACGTTAAGTCGGACACAGGTCAGATGCCTGGCGAACTCCGCGCAGTGCCCACCTGTTTCGACAAAACTTTGTGTCCGGCACCACACCGAATCCAAGCGTTGCACAGACGCGTTCATGCACATAAATAACTGTTGTTTTAATTTGCTGTTAAACAAGCAGGAGACTACTGGCGACGACATTGAAATCGCGGATTTGCTTATGTGCGCCGTCGATAACAACAGCATGGGTGGATGGTTTGCTCCTGGGACAGACGACGTGGTGCGTGGACAAATTCACGTAGAGCATGGCATCCACGTGCACCGCGTCACGCTAAACGGCGGTCCCCCGTTCCGAGGAAATGGATTCTTCCGATGCACGGGGAACACCTACTGACCGAAAACGCGGTGATCGCACAAAAAAATTATTCAGCTGTGTGTACCTATAACATATGACGAGTTAGAACCATTTCTGCCAAGGAACGGTTTTTAACGATCTGTAATTCATCTTATATTCATTCTTCATCTGATAGTGTCCACATCAACAACTCTTTTCTCTGTAAAGACAAATTAAGGACGAATTAAAGCAACACAAGCGCCCTTAACGGAACACGAGGGCTGTACAAATGAGAAAATGTATCAGCTGTGTTCGTATAAATGAGAACCGACTCTGTTCTTTCAAAACTTGCGTGATCTGGACTTATAAACTGGTTTTAGACACTGGTCAAACTGTATAAAAAGGGATGATTTTAAGGATTTTCGTGAAATGTTTTGTTTCTAAGATTTGGACCCGTGAAGATCCGATTAAGAACAGGTCTTCAGCAGCCTATGTTGTTAGAGGCGACAAATGGGATCGGGTGGTCAGGCTCGCTGACTTGGTTGATGCATGTCATCGTATCCCAATTGCGTCGATCGATCCTCATGAAGTCATTCACTGGATTGTTTGATCCAGACTCGATTATTTACAGACCGCCGTCATATAGCTGGAATATTGATGAGTGGGGCGTTGACCAACAAACAAACAAACAAAACCTTTGCGTTTCTTCATGATATCTATAGCTATTACCTATTATCGATTCTATACAAAACGTTATATATGTATTCATAGTGCATGAATTCTTAATGTTACGTAATTGTTACCTAACACATTTTTGTATTTTTTAAGATAAAGGAAATCCCACTCAGCTAAATCGTCATTAGCGGCCGTTGTGTGATTCCAGCCTAAAACAAAAATTAAAATTTGGTCGACTGTTTCAAGTTGTAAAATGACGTTTGCTTCCAAATAAGGAATCGATTTGAGATCAAGGCCTGCTGAGATTGATTGAGTAAATATATTATTTTTTTACCAGTTGAGCGCCAGCTACACGTTCCTTCATATCCCGTCCACATGCACTTATGTACATATGGGTGTATATTTGCATACGTTTGTAAATATACATACGCCAGTATACTTGTCATGGGAACGCGTTTACTCATGTGTGTATATTTACACCAGGAGAAACTTTGCATCATGTTTGGAGCATGTGCAAATGTTAATTTAATTTTGCACTTTATGGATATGTTGTAATGTGAACAATAATGTCAACGTCAGAGGATGATTTGCCAACACCAAACAAATTGTCATCAGTTCTGTATTCTGAAGTTGACGCTCTTCAGTATACAGCTATACCAGCTTTGATGCGGACATCCAGTGCTGGGCGGACAGTATTAATGGGGTTTCCAGGAGTCCAAATCTTGTGTATAGATAACATCAAACACATGTTGCTTC